GGCGACACCCCTTGCGATTTGTGATTTTTGAATTTACTTGTCATGAAAACCTTTAGGGGACACCCCTTAAGATCTGTGGTTTTGGGATTTGAATCTTCACAAAACCTTAAGGGGGACACCCCTCGCGATTTGTGTTTTTTGCACTTATTTGTCATGAAAACCTTTAGGGGGACACCCCTTAAGATCTGTGGTTTTGGGATCTGAGTTTTCACTAAACCTTAGGGGGATATTTAAGAAGGAGAGAAGGGAGGGTGGGGGAGGGTGGAGATTCCAGGAGAGAGAAAGGGGAAGAGGAGAGGTAGAGGGAGTGGAGGTGGGGGAGAGTGAGGAAGGTGAGGGGAGGGGGTAGTGGGAGGGATAGGGAGAGGGAGGGAGGGGTATGGAGGAGGACGAGGGATGAGGAGGAGGAAGATAGTGAAGATGATGAGGTGGATGATAAAGAGAGAGGTGGGGTGGAGTGAGGTGTGTGGTGGGATGGGACGGGGTGGGTGGGCACGGCTGCCTGCTTCCGCACGCCCAGCCTTCCCTGCCCGAGCCGCGACCGAGCAGAAAGCATGTAAATATCGCGCTATAACAAGGGCTAGGGATTTCACACATCTGCTGGCAAAATCTGGCGGAAGTGACCTGTGGTCCAGCAAAACACCTGTAAATACCGTATGAAAACAAGGGCTAGGGATTTCACACATCGGCTGGCAAAATCTGGCGGAAGTGACCTGTGGTCCAGCAAAACACCTGTAAGTACCGCATGAAAACAAGGGCTAGGGATTTCACACATCTGCTGGCAAAATCTGGCGGAAGTGACCTGTGGTCCAGCAAAACACCTGTAAATACCGCATGAAAACAAGGGCTAGGGATTTCACACATCTGCTGGCAAACTCTGGCGGAAGTGACCTGTGGTCCAGCAAAACACCTGTAAATACCGCATGAAAACAAGGGCTAGGGATTTCACACATCTGCTGGCAAAATCTGGCGGAAGTGACCTGTGGTCCAGCAAAACACCTGTAAATACCGCGCTAAAACAGGGGCTAGGGATTTCACACATCTGCTGGCAAAATCTGGCGGAAGTGACCTGTGGTCCTGTAAATACCGAATTAAAACAAGGGCCAGGGATTTCACACATCTGCTGGCAAAGTCTGGCGGAAGTGACCTGTGGTCCAGCAAAACACCTGTAAATACGGCGTGAAAACAAGGGGTAGGTGTTTTTAGTTTCAGCACCGCTATAGTGACACATATTCCGCGGAAAATGTGTCATATTTTTGGTGTTAGCACAGATATCGTGACACATATTCCGCGGAAAATGTGTCATGTTGTTGGTGTTAGCACCGCTACAGTGACACCTCTTCCGCTGGATGATCAAATATAATAAGGATAATAAAAAGAATGAAAAAGGATGATAAGATGATAGTAAAGATGATAAGGAGGGAGGGTAGGAGGGGAGAGGGTGGATAGGACGGGGTGGGGAAGGGGTGGACAGGAAGGGTGTGATGCTGGGCTGGGGCTGGGATGGCCTGGGACAGGTCGAGGGTCGGGGTTGGATAGGTGATAAAGGTGATAAAGGGTGACAAAAGGTGATAAAAGGGTGATAAAGGTGATGACAGGTTCGGTGGTGGGGGGGGTAGGGAGGGGTTGAGATGTGGGGGGCGTGGAAGGGGTGGGTGGAGGGGTGGAGAGGCATGGAGGGGTGGATAGGAGTTTGGAGAGGAGCGGTGGAGGAGTGGAAGGATGGAGGGGGGGGGGGCTGGGCTGGCTGAACAGAAACTGGCAGAGGCAGGGAGTGTCAGGCGCAAGGGGGCAGGACCCGGGGGGCAGAAGCGGGCGTAGAGGGAGGCAGGGGCAGCGGCGGGCATGGGCAAGGGGGCAGGACCGGCGCAGCGGGTTGCAGGAGGAGGGGGAGGGAGAGCTGGCTGGGGCTGGGGGTGGCGGCTGGCCTGGGCTGGGAGCTGGGTCAGGGGGAGGTTGTGGCAGGGGCAAGGGGTAGCTAGGGCTGGGCTGCAGGGGGCTGGAGCTAGAGGCTGGGGGCTGAGGGCCAGTATTTAAAATTTTAAAAATCTTTAAAATCTGAAAAGCTTGGTTTTCAAAAATTAAAGATTTTAAAGATTTTAAAAGCCTTTAAAATCTTTAAAATCTTTAAATTTTTTAAAATTTTTAAAATCTGAAAAGCTTAGGTTTTTTAAAATGCAAAGATTTTAAAGATTTTAAAGATTTTTAGAATTTTAAATCGTTAGGTCTGGGCTCCAGGCCACCGACACCTATTTAAAATTTTAAAAATCTTTAAAATCTTTAAAATCTGAAAAGCTTGGTTTTCAAAAATTAAAGATTTTAAAGATTTTTAAAATCTTTAAAATCTTTAAAATCTGAAAAGCTTGGTTTTCAAAAATTAAAGATTTTAAAGATTTTAAAAGCCTTTAAAATCTTTAAAATCTGAAAAGCTTAGGTTTTTTAAATTTTAAAGATTTTAAAGATTTTAAAGATTTTAAAGATTTTTAAAATTTTAAATCGTTAGGTCTGGGCTCCAGGCCACCGACACCTATTTAGAATTTTAAAAATCTTTAAAATCTTTAAAATCTTTAAAATCTGAAAAGCTTGGTTTTCAAAAATTAAAGATTTTAAAGATTTTAAAAGCCTTTAAAATCTTTAAAATCTTTAAATTTTTTATAATTTTTAAAATCTGAAAAGCTTAGGTTTTTTTAAATTTAAAGGTTTTAAAGATTTTAAAGATTTTTAAAATTTTAAATCGTTAGGTCTGGGCTCCAGGCCACTGACACCTATTTAAAATTTTAACAATCTTTAAAATCTTGAAAATCTGAAAAGCTTGGTTTTCAAAAATTAAAGATTTTAAAGATTTTAAAAGCCTTTAAAATCTTTAAAATCTTAAAAATCTTTAAAATCTGAAAAGCTTAGGTTTTTTAAACTTTAAAGATTTTAAATATTTTTAAAATTTTAAATCGTTAGGTCTGGGCTCCAGGCCACCGACACCTATTTAAAATTTTAAAAATCTTTAAAATCTTTAAAATCTGAAAAGCTTGGTTTTCAAAAATTAAAGATTTTAAAGATTTTAAAAGCCTTTAAAATCTTTAAAATCTGAAAAGCTGGTTTCAAAATTAAAGATTTTAAAGATTTTAAAGATTTTGATTTTAAAATTTTAAATCGTTAGGTCTGGGCTCCAGACCGACACCTATTTAAAATTTTAAAAATCTTTAAAATCTTTAAAATCTGAAAAGCTTGGTTTTCAAAAATTAAAGATTTTAAAGATTTTAAAAGCCTTTAAAATCTTTAAAATCTGAAAAGCTTGGTTTTCAAAAATTAAAGATTTTAAAGATTTTAAAAGCCTTTAAAATCTTTAAAATCTTTAAATTTTTTAAAATTTTTAAAATCTGAAAAGCTTAGGTTTTTTAAACTTTAAAGATTTTAAAGATTTTAAAGATTTTTAAGATTTTAAATCGTTAGGTCTGGGCTCCAGGCCACCGACACCTATTTAAAATTTTAAAAATCTTTAAAATCTTTAAAATCTTTAAAATCTGAAAAGCTTGGTTTTCAAAAATTAAAGAGTTTGAAGATTTTAAAAGCCTTTAAACTCTTTAAAATCTTTAAAATCTTTAAAATCTTTAAAGCTTAGGTTTTTTAAATTTTAAAGATTTTAAAGATTTGTAAAATTCTAAATCGTTAGGTCTGGGCTCCAGGCCACCGACACCTATTTAAAATTTTAAAAATCTTTAAAATCTTTAAAATCTGAAAAGCTTGGTTTTCAAAAATTAAAGATTTTAAAGATTTTAAAAGCCTTCTAAAATCTTTAAAATCTTTAAAATCTGAAAAGCTTGGTTTTCAAAAATTAAAGATTTTAAAGATTTTTAAAATTTTAAATCGTTAGGTCTGGGCTCCAGGCCACCGACACCTATTTAAAATTTTAAAAATCTTTAAAATCTTTAAAATCTTTAAAATCTGAAAAGCTTGGTTTTCAAAAATTAAAGATTTTAAAGATTTTAAAAGCCTTTAAAATCTTTAAAATCTGAAAAGCTTGGTTTTCAAAAATTAAAGATTTTAAAGATTTTAAAAGCCTTTAAAATCTTTAAAATCTTTAAAATCTGAAAAGCTTAGGTTTTTCAAATTTTAAAGATTCTAAAGATTTTTAAAATTTGAAATCGTTAGGTCTGGGCTCCAGGCCACCGACACCTATTTAAAATTTTAAAAATCTTTAAAATCTTTAAAATCTGAAAAGCTTGGTTTTCAAAAATTAAAGATTTTAAAAGCCTTTAAAATCTTTAAAATCTTTAAAATCTGAAAAGCTTGGTTTTCAAAAATTAAAGATTTTAAAAGCATCCGAAATCTTTAAAATCCTTAAAATCTGAAAAGCTTGAATTGATATAGTATTGATAAACAAAGCAAAGCCATACGTCAAATAGACCCTAAAGGTCCTACGTACATATTTACATATGTATGTATGTATGTATGTATGTATATATGTATGTTTATGTATATGTATATGTATATGTACATTTATATATGTACACGTAAAGGTACCAGTATATATTTCCATATGTACATACACACTTACACACATACAAACAGGCAGACCAGACAGACAGGCAGACACACATACATAAATTCATACGTACCTCCCACCTACCGACCTACCTATACCTACATACCTCTAGCTACATACCTAATGCATGCATACATACATGCATACACGCGCACACATACATACTTACCCCCCCAACTTACGTACCTACTTGCTGGCTTACTTACCTACGTACGTACGTGCATGCATATATGCGAATACACATTGAGGGAGACTTGACAAGTTACAGATAGGAGTTGGATGCCTCGGCGTTTATGTACGCGCTTGATTTACAAGCTTCGATTTTGTCCGAGCCTTGAGGGGCCTTCGTGTTTGTTTTGGAATCTAGTTGATTGGACGCATAACGTATCTCAGGCCACAATGTTGGAGATATCGCAACAGAATGCAACGGAGCCACTGCTTGGATCCTTTTCACCTTGAGGCACCCGGGCCTCGCAGACGAAAGCGTCACATCATCAGGCTGCCAGAAGGCCTGTGTGAGTGGGTGTTCTCATCCAGTAGTGGTCTTATCCATTACCCTTGGCACCGGCAACAGCATCACGTTGCTAGAAACGAGGCCGTCGCTGCACAACTTCTTTCTCTCAGTGGCCCCATGTATGTGCTGGAACTTGAAATAGCATCATGATCAAGGTGAACCCGCATGCCCTGCATGTTTGGACGGACGCATCGGAGCAGAAAGTTGCAAGTCGTTTCGTGGCCCTGCTATGAAGTGAAGTATGTCAATATACAGAAGACATGGCGACAGGGAAAGCCGAGTTCAACTCCAGGGCTCTTGGCCATGCCCACAGCCACAGATCCCATGCTTGAGTTAGTACTTCCAAATGGTTCTGAGAGTTCCACCCGATTGAATGGTCGTGTCAACAGAAGCGAGAGTGACTTCAGATTCGTTCCACAGGCTTTCCAGCAGGACCGAAGCCAGCGGGCCCGCGAAATCACGGTTGACTTTGTGTATATGTAATGTATGTTCGAGAGAGCGAGGGAGAGAGAGAGAGAGAGGTCGCTGTAACTACACTGCAAGTATCAAGAACCCCACGTCCTGCTGCAGCATTTCCAGATCTCAGCTGCAAAGCCTCCTTGTCTCGCAAGTACCGGACCCCTCTCCTACCAGTACCAGTGAGGCCATGGCTCAGGAGCTGTTCCAGTCTGATCATGTCGGGGCCATCCTGTAGGTTGCAAGTGGCTAAGTCGGGCCGCTTGATGCAGGTCGCTCGTGAAGTTGAAGGTCAGATGACCGAGCGAAGATTCCGATGTGGTCATCTTCATGTGCTAGACGTTCTGCTTCAGTTGTTTATCATGGAAACCCGGCCGTGACACATGCGTGGTGCCTCTGCCCAGAAACCCGCCGGACTAGTGGTTGCGGCGCTACGATCGAGGGGTCTTGATTGGGTCTGTGTGGTGTGGGACATCTTGTGTTTGCGTCGCTTTACTGCCGGACAGCTGTGAAACATCCGAGCCTACATGGAGCTTCAAGTCCAAGACTGCATGAACAGATTCTTCCTTCCGACCCTTCCTCCACCATGGAAACCCGATTCCATGCAGCGAAGATTCGCAAAGACATCGCAGGTCAATGCTAGGGTGCCTTCACTCCGACGATCCATCTTCCGAGGCGAGGCTGCCCTTTGATCAACTCTTGGACTTGTACTCTTTGGGGATTTTTCCAGGGCAGGCGGGGGCTAGCATAGAACTTTTTTGGGCTCGGTTATGGAGGAAGAAAGTGTAGGTGTGCAGGAAGAGGGAAGGGCTGCAACACTCGACAAATATCACTTTCCACTCGCCCGGCCAGCATAGTAAAAGTTGCAGGTGGCATCTCTGATGCCAATGCTCACTGTGAAACCATCTGCGAGGAAGAACTAAATCATTGAAGTTATAGGCCTGCTGTTGCACTCGGCATCGCTTGACCTGAAGGCTGCTATGCTGAATGAGGAGCGGGCATCTGAACTCGAGGTACGCGGGTGTGGGGTTCGGCGGGGTCAGGTTGCGCGCGTGTCTGTGTCCGTGTCTGATCCATGCCCCACCCCCTTGCTGCGGCCACAGCATACTGGACATACTGGAACAGGCAGACATGGCAAATCATGCCAAAGAAGAGGGACTGCAGGCTACGCGGAGTACAGCTCTACAATGCGGTAAGCCAAGCTGTTTAAAGAAGCAAGCCGTATTCACGCATAGCGATTTCCGCAGACTAGGTTTCTGTGTATAATAGTATGTGGCAAGTGCTTGTCTTGTTCAGAATTATCCCTGCTGCCGTCGATGACCTCAATAACCTGCGTTTACTTGTTGCCTCGACATCTTGAGTATTCGACTATAGCCTTCGGTGCATAGCTAGGGTTTATTTGTAAAGAACGTTTGAGAGATTTTGAGAGAGGGTCAGCGCGGCGATGTTCTAACTCGTGGTGCTTTCCAAGCCATAGACAGAATCTACCTGGAAGCCCCAAGCAAGACAGCATTGCAAAAATAACCACATTCGGTCCATTGTGACCGGCCAAACGAAGACTAGGAAAACAAAGCTAAAGTGATCCGTTGCTATCATAGACCGTTTGAGCGATCGCCCGACGAATATTCTGCCAATCGTTTTGCAGGCGTTGTTCTCGACATGTTGGAAACTCCACTGTATGTCTGCTTAAGGCTTAAGGATCCGAAGAACTCAGCATCAATCAGCTTGCCTTGCTCCTCCCGGCACGTGAGGCTGCCTCTGTCATTCTCCGCACATGCTAGACTGCTAGACGATGTTGAGCATGCAATCCACAATCTTTCCTTTTGACTCCAGCAAGCGACTCGTTTCGTTTCGCAGGGTGGCCCCCTTCACACGAGAGTTCATGCTGCTTCTCCTGCCAGCAATGCCAGGAAGACTCACTCATCAAAATGCTGACGTCGATGGTCTCCCACTCTCACGAGGCTCTTCTGGGATGAGTTGCTACACTGAGCCTGGTTCCCCAGGTTCCCGCTACCTCGTACTTTAATTTCTGGACATGTTCGGCCAGAGATGCGTAAGCGATCCGCAACAGACAGGCTGGGCTACTTTAACTTCCAGAGCAGCAGTGACTGTAGTCTCCAACAAAGTCCATCAGGTGGCCCAGGTCTGCGGTGCAATCAGCCAAGAGATCCAGGCCCACGGGATGCCCTTGAAGGCCTCTCGGCAGCAATAGGCCTGTCAGGCCGTCTGCGAGATCTAGAATCTAGCGGATCTAGCCGGCGTGTGGATGCCACGGGCCGCCGGCTGCCAGCAATTCATTCGTGTAAGTAACTCGCTGGTTCTGTCGGATTTTGGGGGCTCCCCCGACCAGCTCCCCCGACCAGTGTGTAGGTTGGTGCCTGGGTGGAACAATACATTCCAGCCCAGCCTCAGCCTTGTGACCACAAATTGTCACTGAGTCAATGAGTCAAAAATTAATCCCATGATGGCCCATGCATAGAATACATCATGGAAGCAAACAGCAGGCCTTGCTGCACGCTTCTGTTCTGTCTGGCGACGACTTCAGCTCGGTTGATGTCCAGAACGAGGCCGATGTCTTAGGCTTTGCACAGAAGTCAGACTGCAGCGGTGCGCGTGTCATGCGTGTTAACACGGTGGCAGCAGAGGGCGAGCAGTGTCTTCAGCCCTGTGCCTCACTGTGCTTGCTCCTTTCTTCCATGGAAGCAGTGTCATGAGCACTCAGAGGAAGAGTTGCAAGTGCCAGTGCCCGCCGTTGTACCTTCCTCTCTTTCTTCTTGCTGAGCGATAGCCAGCCACGTCGAAGTCGACGTTGGCAAACTGAGGAAGGTTTGACCGCCCTGCATATTTTGGCTGCAAGCCCGTGTCACGTGGAGAGCTTGCTCCTTCTGGCAAATTGAGAATTTCGGTGTGATTCTGCACTTGTTCCCCCAAGTGGACTGCCAGTTAATTTTCGCGCCCTGAGCACTGTCACAGCTTGCATTTGTGAGAAAGTCACTCCGTTGAGATTTCGACTTGGGACTGTGGACTATGGGGTTGCGAGGCAGTGACACCTTAGGAACTGGGTTGGGCAGCTCTGCGGAAGTGGGATGTAGATTTGGATGTGGGTTTTAGATGACTGCACGGCTTCGTTTTTGTTCGAAGGTTCCTGAGAGAATTGTGCGCTTATGGGAAAGCTGTCGTGATGAAGGGAGGGCGGCCTTACACTCAACCACCACAATCCCAAACCCAGCATTTTTCGAAACCTGAAGCCCAAGTCCGGCCTCCACGACACCGCTTCAGCGAGGCTTGGGCTACTCCGAGCCAGAGCCGACCCCAATGTCCAAGGCCCGGCAGTAAGGCATGGGCTTTCACGACTCAGTCTTCTTGGCTGAGTGGTAGTGGTGCTAGGAGTAGTAGGAGTAGGAGTAGTAGTAGTAGTAGTAGTAGTAGTAGTAGTAGTAGTAGTAGTAGTAGTAGTGCAGTGTGGCGCGGTGTGGTGTGCAGTGGAGCGAAGTGGAATTAGCATAGCGCGGGTAGATTAGATCATATAATATATGAATTGTATGGCATGTGCTTGTGTAAGCATCATGCCCTTTAGCTGCAGGTGGAGAAGATTGGGCGACGCCTCTGCATCTGGCTGTTCGGACTGGCAACGGAGCTGCCGCAGCAGCGTTGCTGAAGTTTCGGGCCGACCCGAGCGTCGAAGATGCGCAGTGCCGCGCCCTCGGCATGAAAGAGCCGTTGAGACTCTGACATGCCTTCTGTGCATGGGTTCGTTTCAGTTTTGTGCGGCATTTCACTCTAGCAGCTTCGTTGCATTGCACCACCACATCTATCATCAGTCAGCACATGCGGCTCTCCACAGAGTTCGCTACAAACAAAGCCATCAATCGTCATTAATTTAGCAGCTCTTCAGCCTACATGGCACAATCATGAGTGCACATGGATCCAGAGGCTAGAAGTCGTGAAAGCACCCAAATTAAGACACGCATCGTTCTCGAAACAGGGCTACCCAATCAAGGCTTCTGTGCCGCAACTGCCAGAAAGTTTGGCTTCTGGAAGATGGGATTTCCGGACAGGCGGTCACCGAACGGGGAAACTTGCCGAGAAGGGCGATCCTGAGGTCCAGAGCAAGTTGAAATCAGAACAGAAGGCCTCGAGAAACTGTGCTGTGTCCTGAGTTTGATGTTGGAGAGCCACCGAAAGCAATCAGCGTGTTGTTTGCGGGACACCGTGTTTCACTTCTTACTCTTGCTTAGACCGGAAACATGGCATGCAAACGACCTAAAGCGACGTATTTTGGTGGCGATGCTTGCGCGGAGGTGACAAGCTTTGCATAAACTGTTTGTTCAGATTCTTTTGTTTCGTAGTTCCTTACCCATAGCTTTATAGTTCGGGCTATAATTACCACCCAAGCACAGAGTGGTAGTTCAGTAGTTTTGTTCGGACTCAAGCGATCTGTGGCCGTGGGCCTCATGAATGAAGCTGGCGCTTACAAGCCTCGTTGCAGTGACCGGTATTGACGCCAGAAAGAAGGGCCCTGGATCTTCAAGTCGTGTGGTTGGCCGCATCTTGTGGAAATGGGTCTGGCTTTGCAATTCAGTCTTCGGCGCAAAGTTTATGTAGGACCATGTGCATGATGCAAGCATGAGCACTCAGGCTTGACGCCGCTGGACCACACAAATCTGGAGTCAACGAAACTGGAGCAGTTGGGGGTTTCCGTGGTATCGTTGGTGGAGCTGCTGCAGAGCCAAAACCATCAAGCCAAGGTGGGGCCTGCGTCTATTCAAGAATGTAGGGTTACAAGGGCAGGAGCAAAGAGACATCAGTTTCATGATAGGCAAGTTGACGTCGATTGTGTTACCTAGTAGAAAGGTTGAACATGCTGCCTGCGCAAAATGCTCGAATCTGGAAAGCGCCAGCTAAGCGAAACCTAAGTCAGCTTGTCTCAAGTCCGAAACAGTTGTTGCAAGCCGTAGACTATCAAGCATATCAAGCATATGTTGGCGAAATCGGAAGGGCTGATTATCCAGGAGAGGCGGCCGCGGACCCATTTCGAAGCCCTGGGACATATCCCCCATGCAGCTGCCAGGTATGAGGTCCCAGAGCGATCGGAGAAGAGCTCTGAAGACATGGTGCTATATGGTGCTTGAAGGCGCTGCAGATTTGATGGCTTGCAGAGGTTCTGGCCACTTCGTTTCATTTTCACTTTATCTGGTGGAGGCGCAGGACCCAACACAGTCAGATAAGCTGCGGTAGTCCACCAGATCTCCACAGCGTTCTGCACCCGTGACGGTGGAAAGTTCGACAGAACTTCCGGTTGCTGGTTTCGGGTCGCAGATGTTTGAAGTTATGACAAGGACTCGAACTGAGGTGACAGGTCGGTATTCATTCCGCTGCTTGGGTGCAGGCGACGTTTCCAGAAGGGGTCAATTCTTCCAAGCTCAAGCACCGTGCCCTGAAGACTTTGGTACCGCTCAAGAAGCCCACGAGTTTGGCATATCTTCGCAAACGTGGGCCCATGCTGGAGGTTTCGGGAGCAATCTGGTCCGGGTGCTGTCTGAGCTGCCTAACCGCTAACCGAGGCAAGTAGATCGACATGCATCTGTTGCAGAACGCCAGGATCCTGACTTCCGGAACCGTTTTCCTATCAAATGCAGGTTTCCTCACCCCCAGATTTTCTGCACCCCCCCCTGTTGTGCTGCAAAGCTTTGTGCATTCGTTGTTTTTGTGTGACTTTCGGAGCTTTGTCTACATATCGCATATCCGATGCAAGTCTACGGCAAGTCGGACTGCAAATCGTACCCTTCTGGAAGACATCGCCATATTGAGCCTGTGAAAGAACACTGCAAGCCTGCGGCGCAATGTACGCTGCAAAACCGATCTGGAAGCTCAGTGTACACGCCTGGCATGTCACACTAGGTGAATCTAAGATTGTTACACGTTCGCAGCCTACAGGTATTGAGAGCGACTTTACTGTACACGGTCAAGTGGCCACCGGAAATTCATGCCAACTGGCGCTTGTTGCTTACACGAGAGCCCACCACCAGGCAGCCACCCTGTGGAGTTCAAGAAAGGTTGAGCAGCGCCCAGCTGGCAAGAATCGAATTGCAGCGCTCACCTGCCCCCTAAACATCTTGCCTCGGATCTTGCTGTGCTACATGCCGGCTTTCAAGCAACAGCGGCTTACCATGCCGAACGTCTTGTAAGCAGTGAGAGGAATAGATGACGGACGTCCTCCCTGACTCCTCCTGTGTCGCGTTGGAATGCGTGCAACACCATTCGAAAGTTGTGTGTAGCGTGCTGTATGTACGTACTCTAGTCAGCCAACCCTTCAGATGCACGGCATCGAACTCCACAGGTGGCAAGGGGTTTCCATGCAGATGTTCTGAGATGCAAGGTTTCTCTGGTCACGTGTTGTCCAGCAGATTCACCGAAGAATATCTCGAACACATGGAGAGCCAACCGGGGTGCAAGCCGAGAGCAGTTCTCAGACATTCGCATGGCCAAGCGAAAAGCGGGGTGTTGCCTGGCGGCCCTTCGGCTGGGCTGAGCCGTGGCGGCGCTTCGGCTGGGCTTTCGGTGGATCTTCGGCGGTCTCGGCCCGGGCTGGAGCTTTGCAGATTCGCTCGAGCCTGCAGGGCCTGCAGTGTCGCCAGAGGAGTAAGGAAACAGAGTCGCTCACTGATTGTGACGCCTGCTTGCATAGAGGATCCTTCGCGAACCGTCCTAACAGCTTACCTGTAACGTTTTTTCAAACTGCAACGCCTTGATCTGAAGTTTAGCAGTCCATACACATCTCAAGAATCCAGCCTTGAAGTTGAGCCTGCCGATTCCACCAGTCTCGGCTTCAGCTGGTTCCTCCAAGCTTGTGCTTATTGTCATAGTTTCGACACGAAGCACGGACGAAAGGCCGATGGAACGGCGAGATAACCGGCTTGGGACTGGTCCAAAGGCTCGAGCACATTAGATGAACAAAGATAGGCTGGTATCGGGCCGCAGCTGCACTGAAGTTTACCATGTAGCGTTTAAGCGCTGTCTCTTGCAACTGCCGTGCCACAGATCTTCCAGCACCTACTTAGGTACGACCACACCCTGGAGGGGGATGGGCGGGGGCTGAGTCCGAAGCCACAAGACCCTGCGAAAAATAATGACCCGAACAGGGAGGCTTGTGGCAGCAGCGGTCCATGCTGCCACGCTTGTCCGGTAAGCGTGGGGGCAGCCAGAGGCTGGCGAGCAGTTTGCCCGACACGGGATTTCGTGCATGAGCCACGGGGCCAATAGTTTTGGCATGAATACTGCGAACTGCATACGGCTATCTGTTCTGATGACGAAATCCCTGAAGGCCACTCCTAGACAAGCTATGCAGCTAACCGAATGAAAATCATTGGAGCGTCGCTCAACCGCCATGTGGGCCTGTCCTGCCTCATTGAACCCGAAACATCTTATGTGTCCAAAACTGTCGAAAGCCTATGTTTGCGAAGCAAGTCTACAACCCAAGCTTGAGAAAGCCTGGAGCCGTAAAGCAAGCCCTTGCAAGCCGTACGATGAACTGGGCACGAAATGCAACAGACACATCGCACCGAAGTCTAAGCCTAGTGAAAGGCTGCGCCGAATCTAAGTTGTGAGAGATGCAGGATGCCGAAAAGGAGCTGTGCGAAATCATTGCCCTCGCAGTCTTGCACTCGGCTCCTGGGTTTCAACTGTCGGACTTTGGGTGCGCTTGGTGCTTGGGGTGAAAGCAAGTCTGCAACTCAGGGTCTGCAGGTCTAGGAGTCCAAGCTTCGCAAGCATCATGCTCTGAAGGTTTGCTTATTCCGCTCCCGAAAGAACATATCCAAGCCACCTCTGTCGCGGCACATGTCTTGGCTTCCACTTGATGCTGCAAACATTGATGTCGTGCAGTGTTGCTACTACTGCTATAACAAGAGGCATTGCTCAACAAGTGCTAACATTTTATCCTCGTACACTCCTCTTGCTGTAGTTGCGAGTGTGTTTTGACTTGTGTGTTGTTTCTGCGGTTGGATTGAACCTGAGTGCCATGCAATGACTACTCACTCATCACAGCCATGCGCCCCAGACACAGTGGAGTTCGTCGCTGGCTTGTTCTCCTCATCACGGGCCTTGGTGCTGCTGCCGGGCTGAAGGCTCGGGGGGCTGTGGTCGGTCGCAAAATGCAGAATGCAAAGTCAGAGTTCAGCTCTGTGAGATATCCGAAATCATGCCGGGCTTGTTCGGGCAGTCCCCCTGCTGCGCCCCGCCAGGAGGATTGCGTGTCGCTGCGGAAGTCCCAGGTTGCAAGTATTTTGCAGCACTTCCGCCAGTCGTTGGTGGGAGCCGGTACCGTCCGTTCCGTGGAGGAGCTCTTAGGCACCGTGTTCCGACCAAGGAGCTGCGACGCGAGCCAGCCACTGGAGCAGGTGGTGCAAGCAGGTCGAAAATTTCTGAAGAATTTGGGATCTCTTGGCCGACGGGAGCAGGGACCCTGGTGCAGCCACAATTTCGACCTTGCGTGGTGGGAGGCCAGGAATCTCACAGGAGCCATGTTTATGCCTTGGCCATATCACATCCAGTTGCTTGATTGAACCTTCGAGGTTTTGTCTGAGCCGCAGAATTGAAAACCTGCTGCAAGCCCAGCCGAGGTTCAAGAGAGCTCTGAAGCAGGCAACTGCGGCGATGATTGCCTGCGGCCTGCAGGGAAGGTTTGCACCCACCGACGGCACCCTGATTGCGCTACTGAGATATGGCCGGATTGCTTTGGATATCGGTGGGTTCGTCGACCATGTAGACAAGGATATCGACCTGATGTTCTTCGTCCGATCACAGGCCGAGTTTTTCTTGAAGCTTGAATGCATTGTTTCCTACCTTCTGAGTCGCAACGAAAAGGGCTGGAGCTGGTGGTGCTCGGGAGCCTTGCAAGAGCCTGAGGGCACCGGGGAGCTCTGGACTTTCAAATGTGTCCTGTCACGCAGGGATGGTGGTCCGGAGACTTTCGGCAGCTCCGTCGACGTTGCCTTTTTTCGATTCTTCGTTGCTGGAGACTCATTGAGGACGGCTTGGAACTGTAGCCGCGATCATCTGTGTCCGCTAAAGCAACGGGAGTTGGGCTCCGTGAAGAACCTCTGGTTGCCTTTGGGGAAATGTAAGGCTTACGACATCGAGCTGCCTTGTCCAAAGTCGCCAATGACCATATTGCTTCAAAGCAAAGAGCACACCGACGACTTTAAGGGTCATGTTGCACTGCCAGCCGTTGCAGTGGAACGATGCGCGTTTCACGCGGGGACTTCTCGCATGCTACATCGTGGCCTGTCGCTGCGCCAGATGCTGACACTGCGCGAACATGCGCGTCGACTGCACGATGGAGGATGGAAATCCTTTTACCACTTCTGGTTTCATCCGGACGGGAAGCCGAGGCCCCTGCCCGAGGGACCGGTCTCGGCCGACATGCGTGCGGGGGGGAAGAGTCGCTTTGTGCATATGCCTCCCCCTCCGGTGAAGGATCCTGTGCATACTTTCATGGCCAGATTCAGGGGTCTCGCCCAGGTTTTTGCTTTCTCAGCACTGGTGCAGCCAACAGGACGGGATGAAGGTTTTGCCAACGGCGTGGTACAGGGTAGCGGTCTGGCGGCCCCGGACGTATCGATCGAATGGGTTCTTTATTACAGGCCGCTAGTGAGACATGCAGCGCAAGCAATACTGCAATTGACAGAGTCACCATATTATTTGGCTGCTTTATGGGAGCTGAAGCCTCTAGAGGTTTGCATGGCATATTTTCTGGATACAGCCTTTCGCTGTGCTCAAGCAGTCGTCGGTCGCCACTCCTATGTAGAAGGCTTGTGCAAGAGCTGGGCAAGACAACCTGCTGATGTGATTAGCAACAAGTCGGAAGCTCGCGATCGCTCGTTCCTTCAGCTTCTTTGGCTGGTCGTGGTGGGGTGCGACAAAATACCGAAAGACAACACTGGAAGCATTTGGAAGGGGCCCTTTAGTCCGTGGGCCAAGTCTGTGAGTGAAGTGCTTCCTTCTGTCGAGCCGGGCCTGCTGCTTACACGGCACGTGTTTCTGGCATCACCCGATCAGAGTGAATTCTCACCGCTACTCATCAACACCAGCAGCCTCGACTAGGGCCTGGCCCGGGCTGCTTTTCGCCACCGAGCAGCCCAAAGCTGGCTGCAGCGCGACAACAGTGAGTTGATTGATCCGACGGTCTCTTTTCGCCGATCCTACCGAATTGCTCCTTGCCTCCCCAGATGCATTCCGAACTCCTGAGGCAACAAGTGACGGAGCTCAAAGACTTCAGGATCGACGGTTGCCTTGCTTTGGGATTGGCGAGGTCCTAGGCCTTTCACCTTTCTGCGGAAGAGTTGGGACGGTCACCAAGGTCGAGCTGGTGGTCGTTGTTGTTTAACTGAGATCATGCTAATGTTATCTTGATCCGTTCTGTTTAGCCAGGTGCCAGGCTCGAAGACACGAAGGGGATTCAATCTTTCCTGAGTGTTTCATTAGTAGCCTTGCCGGCTGGGCAAGGGACTTCGAGCCGTGCCAGGGTTGCAGGCAATTTCTTCCTTTGTGATGGCGTTGGGGTTCGCCTGCACGGTGGATGGTTTTGAGCTGGGGTATGGTCCAAAGCCTTGCACATGGCAGAGCTGAGTCCCCTTCCCCGAAATAGGAAGGAAGCTCGTAGTTTCGTCTCGAACCTGGTGTTGGAATGTTTCGATGACGGGGACCGGACCCCTTCAAGCTCAGCTTCAGAGGAGGAGCGATTAGTTGCAGATTGTCCAAGATACCGTTCAAGTGCTCATTGGGTACAACTGCTACGAAGCTACAGTAGCTACAGGGTACAGAATGTCAACTCGGAGTACCTGACGAGCTCTGAAAGCGCATTCCATCAAGACCCGTGGTGCCTGGCCAACACCGATTTGCCAGGAAGCCGTGGAGGAGCCCTTCAACCCTCAAGCGCCGCAGCTGGCTTCAAACCAGATGACCAGTGAAGAAGCAGTGCGATAGACCTACGGGAATGTATAAGGGAATGGATGATACAAATGTAAACTGCTCCCTTAGTAATGTGAATCCGTGACCGTGAATGGGCAGATTTTCGTTCGGAGTCGGCAAGCGTATGTTCTGCGTGGTTCGAGTTTCGGAACTGACAGGGAAAACAGCTTAGCATGGATCTGACATTGTCTGTAGACTTATTCTTCAGTATAGCTCGCTATGCTACTCCCCCATTGTTCAGTTTGGTGCTAGTCATTCTATTGTTCTTACTGTCTTTATTGTTGTTCATTCCTCCTCCTCCTCCTCCTCCTCCTCCTCTTCCTCCTCCTCCTCCTCCTCCTATTGCTACTGATTCTGCTACTGCTGCTACTGCTACTGCTACTGCTACTACTACTACTACTACTACTACTACTACTACTACTACTACTCCTACTCCTACTCCTACTCCTACTCCTACTCCTACTCCTACTCCTCCTACTCCTCCTCCTCCTACTCCTACTCCTACCACTACGACGATTATTCCTAGTACGACGACGACTACTACTACTACTACTACTACTACTACTACTACTGCTACTGCTACTGCTACTGCTACTCCTACTCCTGCGGGTACTGCTACTGCTACTGCTACGACGACAACTTACTTCCCTCGAACCCGAACGAGTCGTTTAGGAACCTTGCAACCCGGAAGCCAGATCTGAGACTCATGCGAAGCCAGGTCGAACAGCTTCGACAGCTCCTCGATTGCCATGGCTTTACCCTGGGTCTTGCTCTATGCTCAGGAGCGGCATCTAGATCTGACTGAGAAACAAGCATGACTACCCCAAGGAGTGTTCGTGCCACAGCTGCATTTCTGTCCGATTTCGGCGGCACTTTCACTCAAATCTGATGTGGTTATTGTTGCTTGCTTCCAGACCCTCAACTTGCATGATTTGTTCCTCAACCTTCATCTTTTTTGCACTTCTGCTACATTGTCCTCTGCCGGATGCATGCACGAGTTCCGCCGTTGGCAAGTCGCCCTGATGCGCCAACTCGGCTGCACCGGTGATGCATGGCAGGCACTCGGGCGAGGCTTTTGTTGCCATACTGTTTGCCGGCTTGGCCTGGGCAGGGATGTTGGAGGAGGATGCCTGCGTACAGAAAAACTGGCATGCAGTACGAGAGTGGCTGTATTCGCAGATCAGCAAGCAGCCACCGCACTGGGATGCCCGGCACGGACAAATGGGTATGTTAGATCTGCTGCACAGAGCTCCAAGTGCAGGCGATGACTGGCAATCATTGGAAGACTCTACGTGCCCCATGGGGGAGATCGCACTCCTCTTTGCTGACTTCCTGCGGTCGGGCGACAGATCCCTTCTTGAGCTGGGCCTCATCATGATGCGGAGGACTGCTGGCTTGAATCCCACAATAATCGCAGCGTTGTATCTAGCAATACTGGCCGCTGAAAGCTGGTGTTGGGTTTATTTGCCCTCACTTCGGCTTCGTTTCGGTTGCTTGCAGGTTGTCGGTCTCCCGAGTGCTGATCTCTACATGGCCTTTGTTCGGCTTGCTTCTCCAAGCCCGGGAGGCGCTGTCTGCACTCGGGGACGCCTTCGCTGAAGTCTGCGAGGAGGCCGCTCCTGTGGCGGCAGAGATGGAGCGAGGCTTGAGACCTGGCCTGGGCAACAGCAGCCTGCTGCGGTCCTTCCGCCGAAAGATCCAGGGCCGCGGCCGCCTAGGAAGCTGCTACCGCGACAAGCGGGCCCGTGCAGCCGCTCACCTTCTCGCTGCCCTGGCGGGGCACAGCAGCTTTGACGGCTCTAGATCGCTCAAATCGCTGGACCTCTCCATCTTCATGGGGGAGATGGGCGCGCAGTGGCCCTGGTTGCTTTTTCGGAGCAACTGGTCAACACTCTCCTTGCTTCACCAGCTGCAAGTTGCATGGCGGGAGGCCGCTTGCTCGCAAGCTTGGCCGGATGCATATGGACAGCTGACAGTGGCAGCACCGGTAAGCACTTGGATGTGCACTGTACCATGGCCAGAGAGAGAACGCAACCGATGGCTTTATGCTGGTCACTATATCGACTGCACGAGCATTGTTCGGTCAGTGCTCGATGTCTATTCTCCTTGCCTGGTCATCGATGTGGGTGCCAACATGGGCTGCGTAGGGCTGAGTCTCGCCAAGGAGCATTTTCAAGTCATTGCTGTGGAGCCAGGGCCAAAGATGTCCCGTCTGTTGCGAGGAGCTGCTGCCAAAAATGGCTTCTCTCTGAGCCAGCTGACAGTCGTGGAGGCTGCTGCAGGATCCACTACAGGGTCGACAGTGTTATATTGCGGGAACAGCAGCGGCATGTGCACCACTGCCGTGACCCGTGAGTATCTGGAGGGCCGAGACACGCAACACACCGTCCAGCAAGTAACCTTGAGCAGTGTCATAGGGCAGCGCAGCAAGGAGGTCTGCGTCATCAAGCTCGATGTTGAGGGCAGTGAAGAGGATGTATTGCGTGGTGCCGATCTTGTACTGCAAGACGGCACACCTGCCATATATATCGACATCCACGAAGTGACCCGGCCGGGCCTGCCTCTTCTTGCTTGCGGTTTATTTTTGCTTGAGTGTGTCTTTGACGAATTGTCAATCTGTGAACCCGAGGACATGCTTCGGAAGCGCGGCAAGAATGTGGCTGGAGTATGGGATGTGTTAAGCAGGCATGGGTACCGGCAGCTGGAAGATTATACTCAGCTGGACTGCCTCTATGTCGGACAGCAACGCTGGAAGGATTTCAGCAAGGGTCGGACTTGGAGCACTTGCTCACATTGGAAGCTCCATTTCACAGCAGCCCCTGCTTTTGTCATTCCGCCTGTGCCAAGCGAATGTTCTTGGGTTGTCGCTGTTGGGATTTCGGCTATGAGCCGGAGTCGGCAGACCAAGACGGCTCTTCGGAAAGGAGGTGGGGGGCCCTAGTCGTCCTGGTCCACATAAGCCATAAGTTGTGTAAAGCAACGGTCAAAACCGAAAGCAAGTTCTTTAAATTAACTGAATTCACTGCCGACAAGAATCACAAGAATCCTTGACAATTTGCACTGTCGGGAGGGCAGACAGTGTTTGTCCATGTGAGGGTTGAATCAAGTGCGAAGTCTTCTGGGACGCTGCGTCGGTGAGCCAGATTCAGATCTGCTGGCTTTGATCGATTAGAAAAAAGAGCGTGCAATGAAGTGTCAACGAATGTAACCATCACGAAATTCGCATTAATCTGACAAAAATCAAAAAGATGAACGTAGACATATGCACAAGCAAGTACCAATAGATCGGCAAACAGACAGGCAGATGAACAAATGAGAGAGAAATCACGTCTAGGGTGAATGCTGGTGTTCGAGATTCCTAGCGAAGGCTGCCCCAGAGAACGGCAGGGTACCAGTCCCGGATACATTGTTTGAACTGCTCCGCCATCCTCAGTGCCGTGGCTAGAGGAAAGCCTCGGACCGAAGGCCTGTGTATTCGTGAATCCCAACAAAGTGAGGATGTCCCGGCAGAGAGAGAAAAAAAGAGATAGAGAGAGAGAGAGAGAGCAAACACAAAAAAGGAACAATGCGTGCTGAGGCCACGGTGCAATTTGTACCTACGGTGTCCGACTGGATGGTCGCAGCCGCAGGATGGAATGCCCGCCCTGCCACTGCATATCTTTGTGGGTTCGGTACGGTGAACCCGCAACCTCAAGCCCAGATGATAGCTTACTACCGATGCGAAGCTTCTCAAGAATCTCGATGGGTGTCCCTTGTGTCTAGACTCACCTGATGAGGAGCCCAAAGTCTGCAAGTCCCAGTAGCTAAGCTAGTTTCGCCGTGAAGGACAGAGCGAACGGCCTCGTGCCATCTGTGGGCTGGTGGGCCAACGACTTGTTTGGGCGGTGGATTGTGAAGAAGTAAGCAGCCCAGAAATGACAGGCGGGGAGGCGCGGCTTGAAAGCTTCCGACCAGCAACGTGCTGAAGCTAAAGCCCGTGTGCATCGGTGCCGATTTGCTGCGAGCTCTACATTCAGGACAGAATCTCGGTCCCGAGAGCTTCTCGTTGTGCTTGAAGAAAAGTCGACGTGGTTGTCAGTTATGTGACTGCCTGCAAGCTCTGCACAACAAGCTCTTGAAAACCTGGCCAGGGACTGCTGGCTGTTCCTACGAACTGCACATTACAAGTGCGAAGGCTACGACTGGCGCCACACCAGTAATTATGCCAGTGACCAACGGTCTGGTCAAACTTGAATCCCGTCGCCGGAATATTGACTGCAATCGCTATTGCCGCATCTGCTGCATTGCCAGGAAAAGAGAGCAATGCAGAAACTGCCAAAAAAGCTTTTGCACGTAATGTAGGACCTACACGGGCCGTGCTCCAGGATGGTGATTGAAAAATTGCCCTTGGACGGCATGCTACACCAAGGCGACCTGTTCATTTCCGGGAACGATGTTGATTGGCCAGACACAGCCTCAGACCGGAGAAATCTTGGGTTTCGATCCTGGAATGAATTCAGGGCTTGTTTCATTCCAAAGGTGACAGCACAAAGTCTGAGCGGTGCCACTTGTTGCGAATCAGGGCCGGTGCCGTTTCTGTGCACCTTGCTTACTCTTACTGCTGGTGATACTTTTGCGATGGTAGCGTCAGTGAGGAGGACGATCGTCGTGATGGTGATCAGGATGATGGTGAGCGTGCTGGTGGTGTTGTGCTGGTGGTCGCGGCGGTGCTGGTGCTCTTGCTCGTGCTGGTGCTGCAGCTGCTTTACTGCAATAGTCGCCATGATAGTTAATACTCGTACTGTCTTCTTACAATTCTGCTGCCTCCAGCTATGTGTGCTGCTGCTGTTGCTGGGCTTTCGGGCTCTAACGTTGGTTATAAATATTGACCATGTAATCTGCCCCCTGCCAGTCTTGATTATGCCAACTGCTGGGTGGATTGGTCATCCAGAAGCTCGCCTATTCGATCGCAATTCTCCTGTATTAACCAAGACACCATGGTGTTGGGCTCGGCCCGTCACGGGCATCGACAAGAACACCGCGTCGTACAATATAGCCAGTGTGGAACACGTCGACTGCTTCGGCTCGGGCCTTAAGGCGAACGTTGCAATCTGTGTTGTGTTTCTTGCATGTTTGCTGATCGCAGGCATGCATATGACTTTGCACTGACCTGTTTGAGTTGTGAGAGCTTAGAGCTTTGAAGCACCCTGTGTCCCTCTAGCGTTGCCTCTCTTCCAGAGAACGGTGCTCATCGTGAACATTGAAAACAAGAACCAAGTAGGCAAGTTTCGCTGGGTTGGGACACGATCCGCGGACGGCTCAAGCTTGGAAGGCTGTATCACTGCTTACTCTAAAGGCTTGGTTCTCAAGTGCTCCAGCTTGTCCAGGCAGCCGGCCGGGCACGTAACAGGCAGCGAGCAAGCTTCCTCCGATCCTGTCTCGAGGTTAGTCTTTTGCCTGGCTGCCCGCCTGACCTTCCTTGCCCCCGTGGCCGAAAGCGTCGCCATGTCGTTGCGGCAGAAGGATCGAAAGGATAGTGCCTGGGTGGAGATAGGAGAGGCTTGCAACATGCTTACTTTCCTGTTTATCCACAGGCACTTCTTTCACGAACTTAGTCTCAAACCCAAGACGTATTCCAGTTTAAAGTCGTTGAGCATTTGCACCAACACTGTTTGAAGTGCGATCATTCGTTTTCGTTCATTTCGAGGGTTCAGGCGGCTCAAGGTGAGGCCATGAAAGTCTTCGCGTACAAAAGGAGAGCTTCCCAATTTTGGTAGCAGGTCCCGATACCTGCAAGCGCTTGACAAAGCATCTTGGAGTATTTGGGTTCGATGTGTGCTGCACCTTTCAGGTAGCAGCTCGGATTCGGCCGGAGCAGTGATCAGGAGCAGCTTGTGTCTTGGGAAGCTGGGGAGTGTGAGCATGGAGATTGTTTTACAGCCTCGCAACAAACAGCAAACCCTGCTTCGTGCCTGAAGCTACATGAGCACACAGAGAGACAGAGACAGAGAGAGAGAGAGAGAGAGAGAGACAGAAGTGGAAGCAATGGCAGAGTACGAGCTGAACACGGGGCGGAGAAGAGTCACTTCGAGCCCTACTGACCGCCCCACGCCGCGGAGCTCACCTGACCCCGACAGCAGTGACTAGAGTCACTAGAGCCTCGTAAAACAACATCGGGGCGAGTAGAGGACACCGGGGCAGCCCATCATGTGATACACACAGGTCAGTCGGGCCCTCACACAGTTTGTTTGGTTCTGCAGTCGGGCCCCCGGAGCGTAGCCTGTACTATACACCTTGGGCCCACAATCCTGTTACTACCCACGGGGCGAAAGTATGCGAAAGTATACAGTCCCGGACCTCGCCTGTTTTGTGATGCTGCACAGGTTCCCTCAGGTCCTTTGTTGCTTTGTACTTAAGGCGAAGAGTCCAGGACATGTGCCGGTAAGGCCTCCAGAACCTTGCAATGTGATGATGCATCGCAACCCTCGGAACATAGCCTACTTGTTTGTTGTACTACGAAGTCGAGAGTCGGAGGCACATGTAGTGAGCCAAACCACCGATGCACCCAGGCATCTACGATAGTCACACAGTCACTGTTGTAAGCGGGGCGTTGTGCTTGTGTTTTGACCTGGGGCCATCGAGCGGAAAAACCGCTGTCGGACAGCTCGCGCAATCTTACCAACATGCTACGAGCCAGGAACAGGTTGCAGGACTCTAGCCGTATGGCCGATGTTCGAACCTGACGCGCGTGGTTGGTAACTTTAGCCCAGAGCACGTAATACCGTGCAGGCCACCAACAGGGGGCAGCCCTCCGGGCGGGGGCGCGCCCTCAAGCCTTGCGAAAGAAAGAGAGAGAGAGAGAGAGAGAGAGAGAGAGAGAGAGAGAGAGAGAGAGAGAGAGAGAGTAGCCATTTTGGCTCAAGCCGCGAGTGCTCAAGGCCGTGCCGCTCCTTGCACTGCCCAGGGGTTCTCTCTTCTCTCCTACTTAAGGGCGGCAGGTCTCAACCCGGGCGCCTCCGCCACTCCTGCCAGGGCCGCCTCAGCCATCAGCGACCGGGGGGACATCGGCCAGTGTGCGCTCTTCCTTGAGGGAGTGCGGGACGGGGACATAGTCAGGACTGCTCCACGAGGGGATCGGCGGCCTACTTGCTGCTGCTTCGGGGGGGTCTGACACCAGCTGCCCCAACAATATCGGCGGCCCTACAGGTTTTCGCCGGCCTCCCGTCGATTCGGGACACCAGCTACCTCGAACGGGGACGCCATCACCTACCTGATCGTGATAGTGGCACGCAGGGCGACCTAGCAATCCTTGCCCACGTGTGGGGGTCATGACCGACCCGATGGCGACAGACCCCACCACGCCTTCAGCCCAGAAGAAGAGGAGGGCACCAGAGGAGGAAAAGTTGAGCCTGGAAGCCATCCGTGAAGTGGTTCGCAGCGAGGTTACGGGGAGTACCAGCACACTGCGGGCCGAGATCAACCAGCGCATGGACCGCGTCGAGACGGGGGTCACCGCACAGCTTGAACGCACTTTGGAACGCCTCGCCGCCATCACCAACCAGCAGGCGGAGCAGCAGCGTGTCGTGGAAACCATCCAGGGGGAGCAATACTCCATGTCAGCCAGGCTGCAAGCCCTGGAGAACAAGGTGCAAGTGATCCAAAGCACAGGGGCTTCCAGTACGGCAGATACGGACTTTGGGGGGCGCAAACCGGCGCTCATTATGGGCGGATGGGGGGATGACACCCCCGCGGAGGAACAACGTGAAACAGATGGTCAAAGATTTGCGGCTGGACATCCCCACCGACCAAGCCTTCGTTCCGGGGGTGAGAAGGGGATACGCCATACTCCCCTATGGCGCCAAAGACGGGGAGGATCACGTGACCGCCTGTCGGCGGCCCTCCGCCGGTTCCGCCAGGCCAACATACAAATGGGGGTGCAGCAGGATGGAAAGGCCAAATACCTCTGGCTCCAGCTGTCCCAGTCGCCGGAACGGAGAAGGCACGTGCAGCTTGCTGGCAAATGCAAACGGCTCTGCCTCACCCTTGGGGGCGACCTTGCCCAAAGTCGAGACCAAGTAGCGGGAAGACGCCGCCCTAGCGGTGATCAGAGGCGCCCGACGCCTAGTGCAGCTGCCCGAGCGAGACCCACACGAACCACGAGCCCACCGCGCCACAGCACTCAGAGAGAGCCAAGAACCAGGAGCCACACCGCTCATATACGCAGGAGACGAGGCCTGGGGAGAAGCAGCCATGCACCCATGGGCGCTCCGAATGTGGCGGGACACAGACCCCCAACAAGCACAGGACAGGGGAGCGGCCAGAGCAACAAGCAGCAGCGAACCGCCGCGCACCGACACCCAAAGGGGGGGGACCACGGCACCACAAGCCACACCACAGGCACAACAAGCACAGTACCACCACCACACAGAAGCAACAAGAGCAGGATCAGCCACAGATCCACCGCACACCGTCCACCAAGCCAGTCAGCGGCAGCCACCAGAAGCCCACCACACGACACAACGAGGACAGAACCACCACCACACAGAAGCCGTGAGTCAGAGCCACAGGCAGGCCAATCCGGACACGCCAGGACAGCCTACGGAGACAACAGCAACAGACAGCGCGCAGACCACACCTGATGCTGCAGCTGCGAGCGGCCCCCACAACAACCAGCCAGCACCGGACAAAACCACACAGGAGGGGGCTTCTCTTTCTACTCTGCAGCAGCACGGCAGGCCTTCCGCCCAGTACACACCCAACACAAGCCCCGAAGAGTGCCAACACCCAAGCGACCGCCCCCGCAGCCAGAAACCAGCTGGCCCAGTGAGGACCCCCCTGAGGGGGAGGCCCCACCAACCAGGGTTTACAGCACGCTACCACCTGCCAAGACAGCCAGGCAAGCAACCACAGCCAAGGAGACCTGGGCACCACAGTACCGTGGCACGCGCCCTCGCCAATACCTGAAGAAGGAGCCACCACGGAGGAGGAGTACTGGCTACCGGCGGGGGAGCGAAGACAACGAGAGGCCAACCCGGAGCCCGAGCCCCCTTAAAATGGCCAGGGGGCAAGCCGAAGCACTGCTGCGCAGCGAAACAGAAGAGACACTGGCGGCCTGGATGCAGGTCACAGGGAACGAGGGGGACGACCTGGACAGAGACAGAAGAGCCAGAAAAGAAAGAGCGCGTCAGGGGCAGCAAAGCACAGGCCCAAGCCGAAGCAGCAGGAAGCCATGGCCCTGGCTAGAACCACGAGCCTCAGCCTGGCAACAGATGGGGAGATGGGCAGAAGGGGGATCACGCCGCCGCCCACGCCCAACGTCCAGATCGGCGCTCGTTGTGGGCATCTTCGACGACAGGCTACAAAGGGGGGACCCCCCCACACAGGGGGGAACTGGCGGAAGTCTTCGAACTGGCACAGAGCGGCTCTGCACTACTTTGGGGGGGGCTGCGCTCCAACAACTGCCACGATGAGCAGATGAGGCAGAGGCAGCGATCCAGTCACTTATGGCAGCCTACCCCTTGGGCATGGACCGGCTGGGGGAGCTACGAAATCTCCTGGACCAAGCAGCGGAAGGTGTGACTGCGCTGGTGGGCATATACCCACACACAGGGGAACACAGGAGGCCATGAGTGCACACCCCACAACGCAATGGTGACGACGAGCGGGGGAGAAGCACAACAGCGAGCCGCACGTGGGGGAGAACCACGACAACGAGCCCTACGTGACGAAGGACCGGACGCCACGCACGCAGCTCATCCCCTTCCTCGAAGGGGAGATGCAGCAACAGACAGCTGCAGCCCTACGGGAACTTGACGCATGGACCCGCAGTTACTGGGGGAGCGACGTGGAGTTCGGAGTTAGTCAGCGACGAGGGGGAGACCACGGGGGACAAGGCGGCCAGTTCCTCGACTTGGCCTACCACCGCAGCGGACGACGAGCTCCTACTGAACCGCGACGCCGTTTCTCAAACCCCAGCTCCCTCGATAATGATGACTAGGGGGTAGGCGCTGTTCTTTGGGGGTCCGTTGTTGTAGTGTGCTTTGCTGCCAACAGAAGAGAGAGCTCGGGGAGCACCTCAACCGCCCGTAGCCACCACAACAGGGGAAAACGATAAGCGTGGGGGCCCGACTGTACTTGCAACTAGTCGTGTGCTAGTCCTTGCTGTTCTGAATGAGGCCCCTGTGTGGAACCCAGCTAGTGCCGCTAGTCTCACCATGGGGGCAGCATACCACCAAAGCACACTGTTACCTTTAAGGCTTTAGCTAGCTTGGCTGTTTCCTGAGTACTACTGTGTGCGCAACAACAGGTGTGAAGCCCACAACAGCGGGGAGCGACCGGTGAGTGCAGTGAACCAGCCTGGCTAAATCTGTAACTGTACTCTGTTGTGTTCCGGAAGCCGCGCACGCACCGGGGACCCCAGTAGCTTAAAACCTTTTAGGAAGGCCCAGTGGGGGAAGCCGAGCAGCAGGGGAGCGCATAAGTGGTTATATTTTACGGTCTGTTACAGGGTTTCCTTGCCAACGCTGCCCTGCATACTAGTGTTGCCTACCGGGGGGAGTGTGCACAAGCGAGCCCTACGCGCGAAAAGTAGCCACAGGGGCGCGGAGAAGAGGCCGGGACGCGGGTGGTTTAGAGTAAAGGGTGGGGCTCGCTACGCTACAAGAAAACCCGGGGCACACTCAGTAGTTCCTTGCCGCGCTCAGGAATGACCCCAATGCCAACCGCTCACTAACACAGTGGGAGGGTTGGGCGGGCCTATGGCCTGAGGGTCTTGACCACCCCTAAGCCCAGCAGAAAGAAAGAGAGAGAGAGAGAGAGAGAGAGAGAGGGAGGGAGGGAGGGAGGGAGGGAGGGAGAGAGTGCTTTTGAGCGACAGCCCGAAACAACACAGAACCCATGGGACGAGGCGCGAGGCCGGGGATTATTAGCCTAAAGTTCCACTTCAAGGTTGGGGGATATCACCGGTCCCAGCCAGCACCTCGATCCTTCATGGGGGGGGTCTCACCCGACGAGACTGGAACCAGTGCGCGCCCGCGCGCGGGGGAGGGCTTGCCTTCTCCTTGGCTGTGTGCAAGCGAGAGAGAGAGAGAGAGAGAGAGAGAGAGAGAGAGAGAGAGAGAGAGAGAGAGAGAGCGTTCACTTCATAGCGCACCAATCTTTCCCCTTTACTAAAGGTTGCCGTGAATGGGACGCATCAATGTGACTAGGTGGACCGCCTTCTAAGGGAGGGCACTCAGCGATTCCACTCGCACAGAAGAGCGAGGAACTGGGGCGCAGTACACAGAGGAGAAGACTACGCAGAAAGAGCAGAAGAGCTGCTCAACAACGTGCTCCAGGCCACAGAAGGGCAACAGCGAGTACCAGACCACTTCAGGGACAGCCTGGACAGGGTGGTGCACCTCTGCCAGGAAGCGTCGGCGGCACACGCCGAAGCCTGGGGAGAACCAGGAGAGGAGCAGTTGAACCTGGACCGAGCTGCAGAGGTAACAGCTCCTTTGCCAAAGAAGGCGAGGCTCGGCAGAGAGCAACACCAAGCCGACGTGGTGGCACACGCTGGAGGGCAGCCCAGCTCCCCAATCTTGGGAGACCAGAGGCCGGAACCACCACTGCAAGCGCTCTACATGCTCCGCCGCCTCCAGCCTTTCTTGCATGGGCAGATGCACGAAATGGTGGGATCGGCCATTTGTGACCTGATGCAATGGTCGACACAGTTCTTCGGAGCACCAGTGGAAGTGGTACCAGACGAGAGCGACGACTCCACGGCTACAGCGGCAGTGGAACCACTCCCTGAACCTGCCCCGGGAGCCGACCAGGGAGTACCTCAACAACGAGCGCTACTACACGACCGCCGAGAACCTGCCCAGGGAGTACCCGCTCCCATGACGACGCCTGAACCAGACGACGACCACGCCAAGCCGCCTGAGCCGGGACCGGGGGCACCTACCTTGACAACAGCTACTGGAGGACCCGGCGTGGCACCTACCCAAGACGAGGAAAGCGCCACAGTGCCATGGCATGCTCCCACGCCGGAGTATGAACCCCAGCTGTGTGCACAGCCCGCGGGGGAAGAGAGCGACTGGGGCACTGGAGCACTTCCTCTACAACCGTGGGAACACCCTCCGGAAGACGAACTGAGCGCCACCAGCCGAGTGAGCCACAGAAGACGGCGGTTACTGGCTGTAATGGCTGACGACTGAGGTACCAGCCCTACTGTGCCCCCTCTTTGTTGTGCACCAGGTAAATCTTGACTCTCTTTGCACAGTGGGGGCACACCTCATGTCGACCTAGAGCTGCAGTAGAGGCTTCAGGGTTGAGTGGAAGGTCGGAGGCAGTGCGGGATCAGGCTTCCGTTCGGTGTCAGGCAGGGTTAGGCAGGTAGGTTGGGTTAAAGTACAGAAGAGTAAAGCGAGGCACCAGCGAAAGCCAGGGAACACCAGGGACCAACAGTCTAGCCTACTTAGCTACTTGTACACTCTGTCCCCGGAGTACCCTCTTTCGCCACTGGTAGACCTCGGAGTCTCACACTTAGTCGGCCAACCCTCCACAACAACCTTTTCGTGCTTCGCAAACAAGTGGAGGGGGAGCACCGCTTTTGAGTAAGGCTTCAGGGTTGAGTGGAAGGTCGCAGGCAGTGTCGCGCAGGGATCAGGTTTCCGTTCGGTTTGAGGCAGGGAAAGGCGGGACTTAGGTTCAAGGCAGGGCACACACTCAAAGGGGGCACCCGCCCAGTACGTCGTCACCTGGAGTTGTTGACATGGTTTGCTGCACCGCTAGCGTACTTCACTACGGCATTGGTGTTCTGTCCTAGCAGCTTCAACAAGAGACGGGAGCCCCAATCCGTACACGAAGTGCAGTGGGGACCCAAGTTATGTTCACTATAACCACGTTGTTTGTTGGAAAGCGGGAACCCACGCACAGCCCTGAAAATCAGGGCACACGATCCTGTACAGCCGAGCCCGTCCACTCCAAATAGTGGATGGGGTAGCGCGCTCGCGCGGGGCGGGAGGACTGCTCCTGCCCTAAACCCCGAGCAAAGCAAAGAGAGAGAGAGAGAGAGAGAGAGAGAGAGAGAGAGAGAGAGGGGGGCAGGGGAGGGGGAGGAGGGGGAGGAGGGGGAGGGGGGAGGGGGAGGAGCTCTCCTCCGAACCGCCACGGCATAGGCGCACCCGCAGCCTTTCGCAGAGCTTGATCGACACGCCCAACATGAAGAGAGATCAGCGACCCACCCACCAAGCTAAACTTTGAACTCGGGGTAGGGGGGAGACACTGAGACCTTGGTGTGGTGCGTGCCGGCTAAGCCGGAACCTCGGCCACCGAGGGGAAAGCACCACCGCTGGCAACCAATCCCAGGATCGAATGAGGCAGGGTGGGCCGCTTTGTCGAGGCAGCGGCGAAACGGATTGCATGCACTTTGTTACCACACAGAGGTGTGTCACTCCTTTCCAAGCCCAATGCTCCTTCCACCAACAAAGAGGAAGAGGCGCCTCGGCGTGGGCTCCAGCGGAGCTCTACCCCTGCGAAGCGAAAAGAGAGAAAGAGACAGAGAGATAGAGAAATGCCCAACTGGCGTTGCTGTATCTTTCTGAAACCCACAAGCCACCTGGACGCAAGCTTTTCGCCGGGATATCCTTACTGTATTGCCTGTCTTTGGAGAGGATGATGGGATATCCCAGCCTTTTCGTGGGCCCCTAATCTTGTGGACAGCTAAGTCATCTTCTCTTAGATTTGCAACATCTTGTCGCATATTGATGATCTCGAGCTGAGTATGATGCAGCCAGCAATGAATTGGAGTTATAGGGTCCACGGCGGTATTCAACAAACGCCAGACACAGACATAGTCTCCACGACAAAGTGCCACTCAAACACAGACACAACACACACGCACACAAACACATGCGTGCGTAGACATACACACCAACACCGCCACATTAGGGGCACACAGACAGAAGCACGGCACGACACCCAATGCAGGAACATCAGCCAGGGCTCATCGAACTTCAACACGTCTGGGAATGGCACGCGGGCAAGTCCCACAGGGACGGGAGGGCTGCTGCTTAGCTGAATACGTCGGACAGGCGGCTGGCGGATTTACTCGAGGTTTCGGAGCCGGGTTGCAGTGCTAGTGCGAGAATTTCACATGTCTGTCAGGTGCATATGTTGTTTGCTAACGACGACAGTACGAGTGATTTCGTAAGGTTTATGTTCAAAGTCGTGTTTCGCTTGGTGCAAAAGGTGCTCTTCTGCTGTTGGTGTTCCGCACACGGTGCACTTTCGGCCCTCATAGCACGCAAGCCGTTTCAGATAGGCTACCTGTATGGAAACATGCTGCAAGTGAACGGGCCAGGCAAAGACATTTTTCAGTTGACATGCCTCGAGAAATGCACTGTCTACTGTGATTCAGATGCACTGTCAGTCATCACCCAATTCATGTCCCCACCAAGGTCATAAGCTATCAACTGCCCAAACATCCCAGGAACGGTCCTCAGAGCCCTCTCCGGCGCAATCGCTTGCGGGCAGCAACAGCAACAGGGGGCATTAATCTGGAAAACTACGACGGCGTGCCAGAGGATGAGGCCGTAACGCACAACAGTCGAACTTTAAGGGAATTGGATGTTGGGTCTGGCGCGGAAATTTGGTTTCATTGAGGTTGATGCTGCACTTCGGATACGGAAGACTAAGTATGCAGGTCCAAGCACCAACAGGGGAAGCTTCAATGCTTGGGTTTGACTACGTCGTGCTGGTGCGATGGCAAGGGGGTGCTGCGGTGGGCAGCAGGAGGAGAAGCAGTAGTAGAAGTAAAAGTAGTGGTGGCGGTGCTGGTGCTGGTAGTGGTAGTGACTAGGTAGTGGTAGCAGCAGTAGCAGCAGTAGTAGTAGCGGCAGCAGCAGGAGTAGTAGTAGTAGTAGTAGTAGTAGTAGTAGTAGTAGTAGTAGTAGTAGTAGTAGTAGTGGTTGTTGTGGTGGTAGTGGTACATGGCAGCAGTAGGACAACACTTGGTCGTCGTCGTAAGTGTGATCTCGTGCATGTCGATGCCGTGCTTCGTGGTGCCGGTAGTGAAGCTGGCGGTTGTTTCATCGCCAAGTTTCGAGATAACGGTATCATCCATGACATTGGCGATAACAAAGGCACAGCTGCTTTCATAGTCCATGATCATGACGACGACGATGATATTGAGTAGGAAGAGCAGGACGCTGGCGGTGGTGGCCAAGATGAAGAAGCCACGGCACAAATTACGCGCCAAGAAATTCTACGATGGTGATGGTCATAGTGATGGTGATGACGATCGTGAGGATTGCGATGACATACAGGATTGGTTGAGAAAAAACAAGCACATACTGTACTGCACTAGCATGACGGAGACGATGGTACAGTGATAATCTCCGCACGTGTTCATGCTGTTTCTACTACTGTGGCGTTTGTCTGACAGAGATGAAAGATGCATGTATTGGAAGCAGGTTTTTATGCACATCCTGGACTTGCTGGAGATGCCTCCTGCCTGCCAAAGCACGGTGACGCCCTGCTGTTTAAAAGGGGCTGGTGCCAACGACACCTTTGGTTTTGAGGTTGCCAGTTTGGGCTTTGTGCGACATGGCGGGTGAGGTACCTCAAGGGCAGCAAATTGCTAAAGCGCATTCCATACGTCGTGATGCAACCTAGCTGGCCCATGCGGAGTGTTGACCGACAGTTAGCAAAGTCAACCTCAACCCGTCGATCGAGGAAGTTGGCTCGGACCACCTACTACCAGGATAATCAGACACAAACTAGACTCAGAGAGACCATCAGGCGGTTCTCCAGGCCTTCGCAGGCTTTCACGTGAGAAGCAATGAAAAGCGGAGAATTGCTCATGCAAGGTTTGTCAAGTTGGTGCTCCGAATTTCGTGCGTGGTTTTGAAGTCACACTGCCTCCGCGAGGTGAGGGCCATGCCGAGGGCGCGAAACATCACATGGTTCGCTTAGCAGAAACTTTGTCAAGACTTCGCAGTGCCGAGGCAAGATGAGTTCGACTCTTCCATGGCTTCGGATCGAGATTCCGAGGCAGGTGGCGCTCGACATGCCTAGGTGTGCAGTTGTGGGGTAATTGTAAGTTCAAGGCTTTGACTGAATGTTCGTTGCAGGAACACGTGCGATGAAAGCTCTACGCAAGCTTGAATTGAACTGATCTGCAGAAGTTTAACCAAGTGACCAACTTGTTCAAACCAGATTGTAATCGTCGTCGCCAGCCGCACCATCACAATTAACCACGACAGCATGTCTGTCACCGCTGACGAGCCGACAGCCAACTGCCAGGACTAGAATTGGTGAAAGCATTTGCATGAGCAGTGCTGCCCAGCTGTCACTTCTGCTACTGCTAATGCTACTGCTCCTGCTCCTGCCACTGCTGCTGCTGAAAAACTGCTACTGTACTAGAAGCTGAGCCGCACACAAGCTCGAGCTCCTCAGGAGCTTCATAGTCTACAGGTCTTCACTCGTCAAAAGTCCAAGCTTTCCTTTTCTTTAAATCGCCCCTTGCTATCTTGCAAGGCTGGCGATGACCTGTCTTCTGTCGCCTCCGATCTCGACGAGGATGAAGAGGACCCTTTGCCTTTGGTGTCGGCGGATTTGGGTTTAACGGTCAAAGAGCTGTTGAAAGATTGATAGCGCTGCATCTGTTGATTTCTAAGCTGGAAAAAGAGTACGGCAGTATGTACAGCGACAGTATGTGGCATCAGAAGCCTGTGAAAATGCTCGTCCATGATGTGAAGCAACACGAATGTCGGATGTAGATTGAAGCACGCACGGTTTGTGCGTAATGTCTTGCTGAATTAATCATGTCGGGATGCTCACCCCGCGTTCGTCAGTAATTTGCAGATGGCCTACGGAGTTGCGCTGCAAGAGCAACCCTTTGTTACGGTTCCCGCTTTTAATGATTTTCAAAAATTTGGGATGGGACCCATACCGAGGGAGGCCATGGACAGGCGCATGAGAGCAACCCTTCCAAAGCATGGGGACTGCAAGTTTGCAGCGAAACCCGTCCATAATCTTCCATAAGAATCGAAAGCTTTTCGTCCCAAAGCCTTGAGCTGCGGGGACGTTCATGGCTGACATCTCGTTTAGAAGTTGCGCGGGAGGGTTGCAGCCCTACAGGCTGCAGCCTCGAGTTCATTTGGGCCTGCGGGTATTGGCAATATGGGCTCATCAGTTGGTGCAGGAATGGGATCCTCGCGATGAGTCTTCTTGGAAGCTGCCGCCTTTGGATATTACCAAGGTCCCAAGATCTTCGGGATTTGTGGGAGTCCAAGCCGTTTGAGCTGAGTTTCTTGCGCTGGACGCTCTAGCAGCACTGTACACAGAAAGATATTATTCGAGCCATGTCCATGTCCCAACATGTCCTTCACAGAAAACTGCCTGGCCTTCTGCTAAACAACCGTCACCGCCTTGAGTCCGCCTTGTGGTCACCGGGACTCGCGAGGACAGTTTCCGTGAGGTTTCTTCGCTTGTTGTACACGCTTTGATCTGCAACTGCCAGGCCATTCAAGACTTACGGCAGAGGCGACTGCCTACCCTTGAGGCACCCAGTGCAGTCAGGGCTTCCGCAGTCTGCATGATGAATTCGCGGGGTGTTCCAGAGATCGACACACTTGCAGTGTTGCTCCAGCGTCAGCACAGCACATGTTGGCTTCGAGTTGGCGAACCGCTCCTGAAACAGTGGTCAGCCGGCAAAACCACCGCGGATGCCATGTGACTTTTTCGATTATGCTTGGACAGGTCACGAGGGTATGAGAATGCATGCGACCTTGAGACCCATCCCTCCGCAGGTCTGTAAGAAAATCCTTCGAACTGAGTCTTTGCTGCACCTGGTAGAGCGAAGCCGTCTCGTCTTTCAAGTATTGCTGGTAAAAGGAAGTGGCTCCGGTGTGTGTGTGTGTGTGTGTGTGTGCGCGCGTGTGTGTGTGTGTGTGCGCGCGTGTGTGTCTGTGGGACGGGGTTGGGACTTTTAGCAGGCTCATTCCCAAACGTTCACGTTGATGTGCCAGTGGACGTGTGGCCAACAGGCCTTGTGGTTTAGAGCAAGATGCAGTGCTACATCAGATTTCGCTTGATACAACTGCACAGTTGTCGGAATGAGGAGCCCCTGTTTTCAAGCAATTCGATAAAGTTCAGAGCAACTACCAAGCATTTAACCCTTGACATGCATGTTTGCAGTTTTTTTTGGACCACCCCACAGCCCTGATACAACAAAGTGGAATCAGCGCTTCTCTACGCAATCAAAACAGGCTGCCACGAAATTTGAGTTACACGGGCGGCACAAAAATGTATTCCGTGCCACATCATGCCCGAGAGAGTACCCAGGTATGCTTGTTTTGATCGTCATCGGCACCAAAATCACACAGAAAGACGAGCGATTGCCTTGTGAGCAGCTCACTACGTGCAAGCCCTTTCATGCCACACCAGCGGATTTCAACAATTGGACGTGTTTAAAGTTTAAAGACATCCTTTTTGCTGGGACAATGCTGGTGGCCACCACCGGCGTAACCGATGATGCGAAGTAGGAACATGATGACCCTAGCTTGTTCGATTTTCGGGCTTAGGGTTTATGGCTTAGGGTATCGGGTTTAAGATTTAGGGGTCTCATGACCTTCTAGCTCCGAGATTGTTCCAATTACAGGGCGTCTGTCAGCACAAAGCCTCGTACTGTTCATGTCGCTGCCTCGTGCGAAGTCCTGCCAGACTACGGCGGCAGTTTGCTTCATGTTTTTTATATGCAGCTTGGCAAGCATTTAAATACGATCATCTGTTTTTGAAAATCGTTTTTTCCAGGTATTGTGGAAATTCCAAAAATGGGGCGCTCGCTATTTCCATTTTTGAAAATCGTGGGGGCGTAGTTAAATGCCGCGCCGGTGCTTTTCTCAGGTTTGACGAACCACAGGGAGAACGAGCTGTACTACTTTTAATTGAAGGCCCTGAAGGCTGCGTGCTGTCGGGAGTCCCAAGCATTTAAATCTGGGGAGCTTTTTTGAAAAACGAAATTGGGTGGGTGGCGAAAAAGCAAGTTTGAGGCTGGTTCCGATTCGGAAGAAATTGCCACCAGTGGCACAAATAAAGGATCTAAGCTCCAAAACCATCAGATCACTGCCAGAACGCTTGAGCCCCGAGTCTCCTCAAAAATTGTTCGGCCCAAATTCTACGGATGTTAATTAATAGAATGCCATCAGACCTCAGCCCGACCCTAAATGATTTAAGTGCAAACCAATATCGCTTCATCAGCCTGCGATCTTCTTGAGCCCGTTGCAGAACCGCCAATTGCCAGGCTCAGGGCTGCTAGGGTGTGACGTTGTCGACTTCGGATTCATCCCTGTTGGAGTTCATGCGTGGCAGGTTGGGGCAACCTGAGGTTACAACTTCCAGAGGGTATGTTAAAGGATACAACTATGGCCATCGTATGACTTACTTCCTATTCAGACCTAATCCGCCCTAGCAGGCAACCTTGTTGCAGAACATTGCGGCTTGTCTATTTAGTGTTGCGTTTATGAGTATACAGAAGCTTACATGTTAACATAAAGGTATCCCGTTCCAGCGAAACCGGTATTTAGACGGATGTTTGAAATCTACTTCTCCACGTTGTTGCTTATTGCTGTTCACAGATAATGTGCAAACAGGATTTTTTCGGCAAAACAAAAGTTAAGCGTCCGATTTTTAAATGCTCGCCAGTTCCTCCCAAAAGTCGTGACAGCCCACCCAGTTTCATCGAGAGACCTTTGCTAGCTCGCAATGCGGACTATAGGGGTCGCGGTCGGTTGCTCAGGATGTATTTCGCCGCAAGGCTTTTCCATAACGAGAAAAGCCTCCAATAGTTAGAACTGCAAAATCAGGTCATCGTGCACTACGCCGCGCAGCCAAACGTTATTCACGTGCCCGTGACCTGGCAGCATATCACCAGCTCACAAGCTCGAAACATGCGATGTGGGAGCCTTTCGTCTCATGCGCTTTGATCGCTTGTGCTGCCTCCTAGTGGTCCTAGTCAGTAGAGATTCGCAAGAGCTGGGCTCAGCAAGGAGGCGATCATGTGTCGGAGTGTGGAGGGAGTCGATAACCTCCGGGCAAAAGCAATGTTGATTGTGTTTTTGCCGATGCAGAACCCAAAGTTCAATTCGGAGGATTCCTACTCGTACTGCGAAGCCTCACCTTGCCACTACAAGTCATTCTCGAGCTATGTTTCATGCAAGCCGCACTAGCCGACTATGGCTATTCCTTATACTGCACTATTCGGAAGCATGCTCCTCAATCGCTTTATAGCAGCCCAGGCACCAGAGGTGGGGTCCCGTTTTGTCATCGTCGGCGCCACTTGGATGCTTCTGAGATTTGCGACGCGTCCGTTGGTTTCAGGGGATTGGACCACGAATGTGTCGGTACTATGTGGTGCCAAACGATATTGGGGATCTGCTTTGGGCATTTAAGGGGGCTTTGATTTATCCTACATTCCTACATCAATTCTCAGTCACATGTTACTGAATCTGAAGCACAACAGCCCAGGACCTCGCGGCAGCTTTCAGTAAGATTCGCTGAAGATCTTAGCCAAGCTGTGTGGAAGCGAGAGACAAGTGCCTGTTTGTTCACTTGATCTGAATGCCTTGCCATTCATGAGGGGTCGTCAGTAGAGAACCAGTGTTGTTCTGCGCTGCTCTTTCCAGTTGGTATTCCGGATTTCAATCCAAAGGTCAGCGAAGGAGCTCTACTCTGAAAGACTGCTGAAGCTTGAAGCTCGAAGTCGGGCGAAAACCTCAGCAGTTGACTTAGGATTTGCACGGTCACTTCGGCGACTTGATTCATTTGCTCGAGGACCGAAGCAGTCTCCCCAAATTGCGAGAGCTTGAATAGGACCTCGTGATAAGCATGGAACTTGACGGTTGCACACCATTGTGCGCCCTTGACCCCTGCGGAGAGATGGATGGTTTTCCACACTGAGCATTGCGCCCTGACGCAGGATCATGGCGAGCCATCGCCAGGACCGAAGGGAGCCGCCACCTGCCTATTTGTCGGTTGACCAATCCTCGAATCTTGCCATGTGGCCAAGAAAGCATCGATGTTTTTGAGTTGTTGCCGAGGTCCGCTTTCTCTTCAACGGTGACTTCGTCGATCGCGGCACCTGGGGGCCGGAGGTGCGGACGTGGAGATAAACAGAGACGTGAGCAGTGAGACTTCTGGCAATGTTGGTGTTCAAAGGATGTAGAGGTGCCATGAGTGACGGCTTTCGCTGGGTGACTTGCACGATGTGTTCGCATGCAATATCAAGATTCGAAGATGCTTAAATCCCAACGACTTGCGGGACAGCATTGATGTTGCTTTTTTCTCTCGGGAAACCTGGCTTGACCTGCCCTACTCTAGAGCCTAGTCTGGCATAGTTATGAGGAATCCATGCTGGCCAGGTCTTGTTGCTGCTATATGCACTGAAGATCAAGTTCCCGACGGCAGCGACATGGTTGCAGAACGCGAACCACCTTCACTGGTGCTCTTCTCTTCAGTGTGACCTCGTCTTTAAAGCAGCCCAGGTCTTCCTCAACCGCGGAAATCACGAGGATCAGTCTCAGAATCAGCTGCATCCCGGTGCAACAAACTTCGGCTTGGCCGTGAGATTTAAAATTGTGTAAATTCAGGAGCTTCCCAGGATCTCTTCGTCGACTAGGGAAATCCGGGGAACAGTTGGAGCTGAAGGTGAAATCTAAGGTCCCAGTTCTCAGATCGCTAAGGGTCTCCGAGCTTGAGGGGTCATTCGGTGCAGAGGCGAGAAAGTCCGCATGTTTTGAGGAGGTCTGGGCGCGCAATGTGGTGTGTCTTGCCGAAAGAGCCCGAGCGACCTGTGCCTGGGTCCAGCTTTTTTTGCAATCCCAAGGCCGGACAATGGGTTTGTCCATTCTCACTGCACCCGTGCTTTTGCGGGTGAGGCAGTGCCCATGCTCCTTGGCAAGGGCCAAGGGGGAGTGTCTCCTAAGCACGAAGTTGTGAGAGTGGCTTTGAATGTGGAAGTTTGCTTGCAACTTCAGATCCCGAATGACGTGGGGTTGGGTTCGAAGCTGGATTCTGTCTGTGTGCGTGCGTGTGTGTGTGTGTGTCACGGGCATGTTCGCCGGTTGAGTTGGTGAGTTGATAATGAAGTTTTCCGTTTCTGGAAGTATGATTGTCAAAATGCTCCCATGGAGTTGCCTGTGGACCAGGAGGGCTTCACATCACATCAAGCTTTATGCCTCGAGTTTTGTGGATGCTTGTTCGTAAAGGCTTGACCGTTCTGGCATGGGAGTTGCAGGCCTGCTTCAGAAGCAAAGGGCCCATGTTCGCGAATCACGACAGAGCTTCTCAATGCTTCATTCAATCTATATGAAGACTCACCTCTGTGTACAACTTGACCGCAGAGCAGTCGGATACCTGGCTTGGCGCAGCAATTTTGTGTTGGGCACATGCCAGGATCTGCACCACACTCGTTGCAGCTCCCGCCCCGGAATGATCGGAAAACGCCGCAGCCTTGTTCCAGGTATCACCTTTGCCGGAGAAGTTTCAAGGAGCAACCTGGCCTGCTAAGCTTTATATGCGGGATCTTATGACGTGGCTTCGGAACTTATCGGGCTTTTTTGTCCAATTGAAGCTTTGGCAACTTGGGTCATAGCTTATTCGTGTTGCCATGCAGTTACATATCATGCACAGTTCAACCTCACCAGGCCCAGCCAGATTCCGTAGTCTTGCGCAGCTCCCCTCCTCACCATGAAATTGGAACTGATCTGGGAAGGTAAATGCCAGCCCCAAAATTTCCAAGCAGTTTGAGAAGAACTCCAGGCTGCCTTTGTGCCACGTGATCGGTGGCGAGGCAGCGGGCCCAATGCTGCAGGGTCTTCCCGCCTTGAACTCCGAAAGCTGTTCTCATTGGGATGGAACCCTCAAAATGCAAGAGGTGGTCTCTAGGCTCTGTAGGCATGCAGGGAGACGAGTCCTGCAATGTCAGCGACCTGCATGTTTTCTGGTTATGTATAACTAAACAGGACGGACAGGCAGGTTTAGTCGAAACCAACGCAACCAGTGTTTCAAACGCTTGACTTGGCTTGTTACGCTGTACGTCTTGGACACAGCCTGCAATCGTCTGAGGCACTGTCGTTGCAGTCGTTCACAATGTATGCCCTTGCAGAGCAAGATCTGACGCTGTAACGGCAGCCTTACCTCGTGTGGCAAGGATTCTGTATCTAAGTCGCACAGTGGGAAGCAACCTGAGGAGCATAAGTGAGAGAATTGCTTTCCTTTGCCGGTAGGTCTTCGTCGTGCATGGTGGGCTACCCATGGACTCAATCGTCACCTTAGCCGACATCAACTCGATCGACAGGCGCATGTTTCAGACCAAGACTGCTGCCTACAGAAGGGTTGGGCTTTCACACGTTGATGGCTTGGATGTTCTGTAGCAAGCATGTGTCCGAAGTACCCACGGCCGGGGCGGAGAGTGGCCTGGAACTGGAACCACCGCAGCAAGCTGAAGGCGCCATGACGTTCCGATCAAGCACTGCGCCCTCATGGGGTAACATGGCTGAACAGATGAACAGATGCCAGCATCATGCCTCGCTCTCGGCAGGTCAGACGGTCACACGCTTTGGCCTAGAAGACCAACCACGGGAGCGATTTACTCCTTGACCCCGAAGCGTCAAGTCCACACCATTCTCCTGTGCATGTGGTTCTGATTCTACTGCCCAAATTTGTTGCTTTGCTTGCTGCCGTTGTTAGCTTTTGCTGTTGTTAGCGTTGTCGTAGCCGGCACCACTCTCGGATTGCGCGGAACAAGTTGCTCCCTTCACGGTGTTTGGCTGGTGTGGATTTGCCTTACTTGCGAAGCAGTGGCTGGTGTCGTTCAGTGTCGACTCTTGGCTCGGTCGCACGAGTCTAAGTGCTTTTGTCTTTCTGCTGCGTCATGTAGCGCCAAATATTCCATCAAGTCGCCCTTACATGCTCTTGAGCTGGGTCTCTTATGCTTAAGTGATGCAGGTCGCATTCAAAACAAGTGCAGGTTTCGATCGTGTGCAAGTCTTTGCTGCCTCACAGCCCTAAACCATCGCCTTCGTCAATCGCCCTGCTGACCGGGATTCGATGATTCCCTTTTAGTTGTCTCAGCCAAGGTACCCGAAGGGCCAAAAAGTCATCGCAAAGAAGGACCTCAACCCCTGCAGTGTTTGGTCCAGAAAGCTTGAGGATTCCACTGCATCAGCCAGCGACACGGAGATCTTGGATCAAGCGAACCGTTGTTTCCGCGCGCGGGGTCATGTAGGTTTCAGTGCCTGCGCGACCCATTCCTGACGCTTGGACAGGACCTCAATGGCAAAGATGGCGGCAAGATCTTTAAGGGAAGCAAAGGCCGCTTGTGAAGAACTCGGTGTTCGGTTGGTGATTGGATGAAGCATTGAGGAGATCCGTGTTCACAGCCGCCACCGTCTTAATGTTGTCCACTATCCAGTCCCCCCAACTTCCATAATTTCAGATACCAACCCCAAAAAACTTTGCATTATTTGGTCTCCCCGACAAACACTCTCGAAACTCAGTAAAGCAGGAAACCCTTTCCATCATATTGGGTGTCCCCAGACTTACCGCTACGGAACCTTACAGTAGCAAGGCGCCGCCTTCGAAATTACAGTGCCTACCTTTGGAGCTTTCCTCGTGGTCGTTATCTCTGGTGCGGAAGGTAATCGTAAACATAGGCAGGAAGTTGGCCAGGTATACGCTATGGCACACAGATACGGAAGAGAGAAGGAATTAAGTCGAACGAAGTGTAGCATCAACAGATTAGTGGAGCAACTCCGCTGCAATCCGAGGGCGTGCAAGTTTTCGAGATCGGCATGGTTGAGTTGAGGTTTTGCCTCTGGTGCTCTTGCACTGGTTCCAGCCGTGAGCACGAGGGTTTACATCAATCATATGCATTCTTATCTTCGTGCTGCTTACTATGATTGTTCGCATCATTATCTCTCAAAACTTCGGGTCGCGGTTGAGTGTTCTTGCCTAGATCTACCCGGCTGCCACACTAAAAGGGCGGATTGAAATTCAGAGAGAAGTCACTGCTGGCACGAGAAACTGTGTCGCCTGCCGTTCACGGCCAGTTAGTTTATAGTGTATACTCGTTTCTTTCAACACAGCAAGCTGCAAGCAAGAGCCGCCAAAACCTGGAACGGCAGTGCCTGGTTTTGTTTCCCTTACCGCTGCATGCTCCGAAACTTACTCGCGGCTTGGTTAAGCATAGTCTGGTAGGCCGTCTCTGCGAACGAGTGCGGAAGTCCAACGATGTGACCGGGCATCGACGTTTGTGCATGCTGCTGAAGGTAATGTCAGATGAGCCTGCTCAAATTCTTCCATGGCGGTTTGAGACGGGAGGGGCAAGATCGGAAGAGCACGTTGTGTGTCCCAGATTGCGACAGACGAACATGCAAGCCTTTCAATATGTGAACATCAAGTACCAAGCAACGAGCCATCTAGAAAGCAAAATCAAAAGGCCATTTGCCGCTTCGTTGCAGCCGGCTCGCAAGACGAGGTCGTTGTGAAGCTTGGAATGTGTTGGAATACATCGGATCTTTATTGTGCATAGTTCCAAGGGTCCCATTTTTGCATGTGCAGCATGTGTGTGGGTGTGACTTGGGTGTGTGTGTGTGCGTGCATGTGTGTGGTTGCAGGGTTCTTTGCGCGTAGTCATATGGTTCTATGACTTGTGAATGAAGCCTCGAGCCGGTCTTTAAGATTGATCTTCCAAATCTCTGCTTGCTGGTGACAGTGCCTTGAGACAAACCTTTGCTGAGATTGTGACTCCACCCTGGGCCGTAGTAGTCTCACACCATGCTTCACGTTGTTTTGGCTCACTCCGTCCAAGGAAGATCTCGGGAGCCCCGGAGCTCGAAGAGGATGTGGAAGCTGGGCTTTGGGGGCTTTACAGACCGGGGACCTCCCTAAGCCTTAGACTCGCGACCTTCCAAAAGAAGGATTGCCCACAGCATTTTGGAGTTAACTCATGGTGATGCGAACTTTGCGCGCCGCCTTGTTGATGGGCTTGGGTTCCAAGCTGAGTATATCCAACACGAAACTGACGGACGGCATGCTGTCACTCACCAAGGACATTGTCTACAGTTCGGAGCCGCTTGGCTTAGGTGAGTTTCCAGCAGTCGGAGTCCTGCCGACTGCGCGCAAGGCATGCTTGAAACTGAGCCCTGTGAGGCAAATCCAAAGTAGGAAGCGGCTTGTCTGTTATGTTTGTGCTATTATGTGTTCAGTCTGCCAGCTTTAAATCTACATGATCGGGCCTAAAATCCTCTATGTTGCGGTCTTGCCTTATCTTGCTGTGCATTGAGTCGGGCTGGTCCCGATGGCATCGACGTTTACTATGCTGCCTCTTTTTGATGGCCGTGGCAAGCAGTGCAGGCGTGTCATTGATCGGAGGCGTAGGGTATTGATCAAGCATCTCGGCTTGTGTCCCGGTCGTGCTGCGCAAGTCCTCCTTCTCAAATCTGCGAGGGGAAGGAAAAATCCATCAGTGAATAGTCGCTATCGTTTCCACAGGCTTCGGGTTTGGGGTGTGGGGGTCCTTCGCCGGGTCTTTTGCCTTTGATAAAAGCCGCCTTTCAGGAAAGAGCGCCAGCGCCAGCGCCAGTACCGAATCTTTGTTGCCTTGCTTTGGAGCGCAGCTTGGAGGCACTTCCCTGTCCACCCTCGTCGCACCAAGGCCAAGGCCCTATCGAAGCTTGAACCGTCGAAGGGAAGACCTTCAGAACAGAGTCCGAACCTGCATGCTCAACCTGTCGAAACAAAGTGCCGTTCACTCGGTTGTTTGTTTAATCCCCTGATCTGTCTGTCACTTGCGCATTGAGACCTCGTCTTGCGTTGCCCGAGTTGCGAGAGAATTATCTGTCGAGGCCAAGAAGCCTGATGTGCGGCCATAGTAGCATCACACGTATTTGGGCAAACTCAAAACTCGGAAAGCCAAGACGAACAAGGACAAGGATGCCTCTAGCAACACAGAAGTATTGGTGAACCTCACGGACTCGAAGCCGGTATCCACGAGTTGATGTCTACGGAGTCTACGGCTCAAGGCTCAGATTTGTTAAACCCTCCTGGATCTTTGGTCACACAATCTGGCCGACTCGACACGATGGCTTTTCTGCACGTCGTGGAACTGCTGCTGGCTTGCCAGCTGAGCAGAGCAGAGCAGTTTGCATTGAACCCCATTGATGGCAAAGCTTATCAACACCATCCTGTTCTGCTGCAGGTGCCGCTACAATCCTATCCGTTGGAGCCTGGGGTCCTTACAGAACTCAACGGGCTCAAAGTCCCGGCACACTTTGACTGTGAGAGCCGCTGCAACGCGAGCCAGTGGAGCTCCACGGGTCCCAGGAGTCATGGCTGCCCATTCGGCAACTACCGCTACTACCTTGACCTGCCGAGTCGCTGGCATGCCTGTCACATGCACGAGGCTTTCCTGAGGTCGAAGTTTACGCACGTTCAGCCGCAGCTGCCGTTGATCGACGAGGAATACTTTGAGCTGGTGGCCGTGTACCAGTCAGTGCTCCGTGCTCGTAGATCCTTCCATGCCATGGAACTTGGAGCCCGATGGGGGACCTGGGGTTTCCGAAGCATCGCACTGCTGCGTTTGCTAAACCCTATGCCATACCAGCTTTTCCTGGTGGAATCACACAGGGTGCACTGCGCGGGTATCCACATGGTGGCAAAGCTCAATGGCATGGATGCCACAATAAAATGCACGCTGGCAGACGCAGATCTTTTTTTGGACATGATGTCGAGATTGCAGCACTTGGACTTACTGCACATTGATATCCAGAGAGAGGAGTTGCAGCTCTTGTCCGATTCTAGGGTAAGAGCAGTGCTGACCAAGAAGGTGTATCGGATTATCCTTGGCACCCATGGGGAGGACATCGATTTTTTTGCGCAGGCAATTTTCGAAAATTGGATCACCGTCTTCGCTCTGCCTCATGGTTTCTTGCGCTGCATGCAGGATGTAGGGTTTGTCCCACGCCTACTGGAGGACAATGTGCAGCCGCTCCCGCTGCCGGCTGCCACTGTATGGAGCCTCCTGCAACAACGCGGCTGCTTCCACACTACGCACCAAGGGAGGGTTGCCAACATGGACGGCAGCATCATCGTGGACAATCCGCGTTTCGTCAATGCCTCCAGAGCATTCTACATGAAGGACATGGTGCTTCAGACCGACGACTTAATGAAGTAGAACGAGAACCTTCAGTGTCTCGAGCTTTTTCTGCATGGATGCAGGAACCGTCTCCACGCGAAACGGACAGCCGCATGATGGCTTGCAACGAGCTCCAACGGTACAGTAATCGAAGCCGGAGACCTATTGCTGACAAGCTGACAACTCCTATTCACAGACCACGGTGCACAGATCATCGATATGAACTTTCCATATTCACTTTGACAGACGAGTTGGCCTGGCCTCGACTCGTTCTGTAGTCGAATTGAATCGCGTGCAGCACGCTTAAGGGTGTGAGTACCAGTAGAGAACCTACCCTAATAACACGGAACGATGGCTTTGATTCGTTCATCACCAGTGCTGCTCATGTCGTTTCCTTGCCCCAACACATGGTTTGGTTGCAGTATGATCTGCTCAGGTTCCGTGCTGCACTACGGTATGCCCTCAAGACCCTTCAAAATCTCTCTAATTAATAAGCTCCGGGCAGCATGAGCACCAGGACCTGGTCTTGTTTGTCCGCATAGGTCCCTGAAAAGACTTGCTGAAGCTGTGAAACCAGCATCCTGTGTCGCGCACGGCACCGTAACAACTAATTTGCCAAAGACTTGTCACAGCCACAGACTGCGCGTGCACACTAGGCACATGAAAGAAGCCACCAGCGGAACACCAGAATCCAGTATCTGATGCCGCCATGAAGGCTCCCTAGAAACCCACGGGCTGTGCGCACGAAATCGAGGATCCCGTGGGCAAGCCATCTCAACGGGGTCCGTCGAAGAGGGGAGCAGGGGCCTTCTTTGACAGCCACTTGGGCTGAGACTCGTTTGTTGGGCCATCGGCGATTGGACGAGCTTGGCTGTCTAGCTGGGTCTTTTCGGATCTTGACGAGATGTGTTTCACATGTCGGCTCGTTTCCAGATACATAGTTACAGTAGATGGAAAGACAGGACCTGATCCAGCATCTAAGGCAAAGTTACTCAGGACGGGAGGGTTGTGTTGGGGCCTTTGGATGGCAGATGTTCTCTTGAGGGTTGCTCGCACGGCTCACACCGCATCGTGTTTGCATATGACTTGTGCGTGTGGTCATGTGATCACGAGTTGACATAGGCTGCAGGCGTATGCTACGCAAACGAAGCAAGGACTGCTCGTCAGAGGCCTTTACATGGTACTGTAGCGTCGTGACGAACGGACTGTCGCCCCTGCTCCGCCACCGCCGCGAACGGACATTAAGAATATTCCTGGCTTGACTGTAGATCCCATACACAGAGTGGTTTACAAGATTCCAGGGTGGGTGGCCACAACGCCGACGCAAACCGTTGAGTGGAGGTTGCGGACGTGTTTCAATAGCGTCTAAGAGAGTTCAGCGATGTTCTGGATTGCTGAACTCACGAGAACAGACTCCGAAGCGACTCGCTTGAAATTATGCTTGCAATGACCAGGTGTAATGAAGTACCGACATCCGGCGGCTGTTGCCTGCAACAGGAGTTCCTCAAGGTCAACAAATTGAAGGTCTTGCTGCGCTCGCATGAGAAGCGGTCAGATGGAGCCATGGCCCGAATCTAATGGGTTGAAATAAGCTGAAAAGCTGTTGAGCGGAGGTTGCCTGAGAGGGAGCTTTTGTTCTGCTGAGTTGCTCCTTCTGTCTCTGGCTATGTTTTCTCAGTCGGAGTAAGCCATTTGCATGTCCCCTCAAGCTTCTCAATTCGGCTTGCGGCACTCTTGTGTCAATGTAGCCTGCAGGCTTCTCGGTGGAGCATCAAAATGGCAAAGGGCAGCCTGTCTGCAATGAGGCTTGTCTTGAGAGAACCTACCCCACCAAGGCTCCTGCTTGGAGTACAGTCGGGGACACTCCACGAAAGCCGAGTTCACAGGTGTTTGTAGATATTCAACAGTGCGAGCTGGCCGTTCGAGCGCAGTGAATCCCTTTGGCGCCTGCCTCTGTGTTCTCTTGGACCTTGTGGCGCGCTCGCTGCTGAGGGTTGGTTTTGTTCCGCAATGAAGATAGTTCCATCAAATACGAGTGTTTTTTTGTTTGTTTATGAATTTTGTTGTCTTGTTATCGTAGAGAGGCTATCGGCTTTTGCTGCTGCTGCTGCTGCTGCTGCTCCTATCTGCTGCTGTGTTTGAGCAAAACCCGTTCGGACGTCAGTGGTGCGGATTTCAAGTTTTTTAAAAGAGAAGGGGGATTGCTCAGGCAGAGATTTTCCTGACACGCCCGCGCTTGGCTGTGTGCCGCGATCCGGGAACCAGCCGGCCCACTGAATAACGGGCATCATCGAACTCCAACAACCGTGCATTGCAACCTTGTCGTGCATCTTCCCAACCCTGAATCAAAGTACAAAGCGGATAGTAGTTGCATGCTTTGCCGAGTAATGTCTTGTGCCACTTGACGGGATCAAGGCACATGATCGCAGCTACAGTTTTCTCTGCCAGCAACTATCCACGAGGCAGGGACGGCGAGGGTCGGGGATGTCCACTCATTGTGGCGGCAGGGTAGACTGGGCAGGATTTGCAAGACTGCCCTTGCAAGATACTTCATGCGCCGTCCGGGAAGGATCCAGGAAACACGTAGTTGCAGACGCAAATAGATTGCGAATGTCGTCGCTAGAGGTGCTTTCAAGGCGTTGGGGCTTGTGCCTGTGTTTCTTGTCTTTTGTAACTTCGTGATTCAGAGCTTGCGACATGCATGTTTGAGTCTCACTTTCGTTGCGGAGCGTCCGCGCATGCCTAGCCTGTAAGATTCTACACAACCTGTGGACACAACCAAAGCCGTTTATCCCGCGGCATCACAGCTCGCTCTCTCCCACCCGAGTGAGCGCGCATCTGAATGGCTGCCACAAGACATTAGACCTCGAGCGATGCAACTGAACCCGCTCACATAGATTGTCCAAGCCTGAGTTAAATCAGATAGCGCCGTTAGCGGGGTGGGGGGGGTTCGTTCTCTCGGACTATTGAGGGGGGGGGGTCCTTACTCCAGGAGTATTGAGGGGGGGGGGGGGGGGTCTTAATGCGGCAGTATTGAGGGGGGGGGGGGAGACTATTGAGGGGGGGGGGGGTTCTACTTCAGGAGTATTGAGGGGGGGGGGGGTCTATTCCAAGACTATTGAGGGGGGGGGGGGACTCGTACTCTTGGGGAGGGGGGGGGTCTCTTTGGGAATGGTTGTTGTAGTATTGTGTCGGGTGAGGAAGAAGGAGCAGGAGAAGGAGTAGTAGTAGTAGTAGTAGTAGTAGTAGTAGTAGTAGCAGCAGCAGTAGTAGTAGTAGTAGTAGTAGTAGTAGTAGTAGTCGTAGTCGTAGTCGTAGTCGTAGTAGTAGTAGTAGTAGTAGTAGTAGTAGTAGTAGTAGTAGTAGTAGTAGTAGTAGTAGTAGTATTACTTGTACTTGCCATGTTGAGTTCTTGGCCGCCTTTGTCTTTTTTTGTTGAGCTGCGAACGAGCTGCGACAGACGCTGCATCTCAGCCTCCATTTTCCAATTTGCAGATAAATCACTAGTGGTTAGAGTAGTAGTAGTTTGAGCGAACAACAATCTCCCGCCTTCGTTGTTGTTCCCTCCCTCTTGAAAGAACAACAACCCCGCCTCCGCTTGTTGTTCCCCGCATTCTTGAGAAAACAACACCCCCCCCCGGGTTGTTGTTCTTACCCTTCCCTTCCCCTTTTGCAAACCTGCCAAATGATTCCTGCTCAGTTGTGTTTCCTTGCTTTTCAACCCCTGAAGTGTTTGCATGTGGCTCTTTCCTTCTTGTGTTGGCGAACGCTTTTTTTCCTGGCGGCTCGAAACAAGGGGGGGTTGAGCCTAAGACAAGCGGGGGGGTTGGGGGGGGGGCGCAGCCCCTCCCATTTGCAAGCCTTCCATCGTCATGATAAACTGTACTTGCTTGCTTTAGCCCCCCTAATGCGTTTGCATGTGGCTCTGTCCTTCTTGTGTTTTGGCGAACACGCTAGTAGTAGTAGTAGTAGTAGTAGTAGTAGTAGTAGTAGTAGTCGTCGTAGTCGTAGTCGTAGTCGTAGTCGTAGTAGTAGTAGTAGTAGTAGTAGTAGTAGTAGTAGTAGTAGTAGTAGTAGTAGTAGTAGTAGTAGTAGTAGTAGTACTACTACTTGTACTTGCCATGTTGAGTTCTTGGCCGCCTTTGTCTTTTTTTGTTGAGCTGCGAACGAGCTGCGACAGACGCTGCATCTCAGCCTCCATTTTCCAATTTGCAGATAAATCACTAGTGGTTAGAGTAGTAGTAGTAGTTTGAGCGAATCAATACTCCGGAAGAACTAACCCCCCCCACCCGTGTCCTAGCGGCGCGGTCTCAGTTAAATTCCGAAACGGGTCTCCGGCTTAAAAATGAGGTGCTGGTGAGCCCATGGGCAACAAGGCAGCGGTGGCGACTTGGATTGCTTTTGTTGCCCCTGGTCGGCTGCAGAGCGTCAGGGGTTGAAGGGCAGCCGCACGCAGCGCACGCAGGACCACGGGAATTAATGACGTCTTGCTTCGAACTAAGCGATGCTTAGGGTCGGACTTCTTAGGCCACGTCACGGCGAAGATGTCAAGTGCAGCTTCCCGATTCAGGGTAGCACCCCGCTGTTATCAGTAGTTGTCATCTCTCACCGAGGTTGTGATGGAGCCGAAGGAAGCCGGCGCCCGGCCTTGCACCAGCCGGCTTTTGATTGGGGGACTAGACGGCGGGCTGGTGCAGCAGCTGCTGTCATGGCATCCCACATCATCCCACGCTCAAACTGCCGTGTCTTCGATGCGCCTCCTCCAGCCCGAATCCTCAAAGCTGCACCGCCCAGCTTGCCGTCTGCTACCCTCGCGCTCATATGTCCTTGACTGGTGCATTTTTGCGCTTGTTACTTTTCGGCTGAGGCAGCCTGGCCAGCTCCCTCGTTTCTTGGCCCGCTTGGCGGGTGGGCTTCACGGAGCCTCGGCCGCCGCAGCGGAACGCGATGATACCAACGGTTCTTGTTTGGAGTCAAAGCCTGCCCGTGCTGCTTCTCCTGCCATCCTGAGTGTTCCTTTAGCCAGTGAAGCGGTCGTT